GGACAACGCTCTCCGCCGCCACGGGCCGAGTTCTGACCCTGCCCAGGGAGTGAGGGTAACGTCTTGTTCGAGTTGAGCCCCGTGGCAGAGGACATTGTCTTCATGCGTGGCACCGGAGCCGTCTTTTGCGACGTCAGGACGGGACGTGTCTTCGAGGTGAAAGGGTTCTGCCTCGATCTGATGTTGCGTGTCGGGGATGGGATGATGTCCTCGTCATCCGATTCCATGAGCGTAGACTCGCGGGGCACATTCCAAAGAGCATTGGCCGTGGCTGTCGCGTTGGCGCTAAAGATGTTGCCGGGGTTTGTGGATGGGGCCTTGGTTGCCTCGTTGCGTCTCGGTGACAGGGACAGCGATGCGATGGCCATCGGCGAGGGCGACACCATCTCGATATCCATGGGTGTCCCGGCGTGGCCTGCAAACATGGTTTGGGCACGGCCAAAGGGAGTGCGCGCCGTCTTCTTCGGCCCGTCGTTGGGGGCTTCCGGGCTGTCGTAGGAAAGGTCGGTGAGATCTGTCGTCGAAGGGAACTCCCCGTCTCCTTCACCATCGCCAGCGCCCACCGACGACCTCTCGTAGTCAGTCCTGTCGACAGATACAGACGAGGACATGCTTGTCTCGTGCAGCATTGGTGCTTGCAGGTTAAAGGTGGGCGCCTTCTTGCGGAGCTCCTCCTGGACACGCGAGTGCACTTCATCCTCGAATCTCTTGTTCAGTCTCTCCATCTCGAGCTGCACGAGGCGGTCAATCTCGAGACGCGCCTTGACTTCCCATTCCCTCCGCAGAGTGTTGTCGATTTCTTGGCGCGTGTAGTCCTTCTCGGCCTCGAACCTCTCCATCTTCTGCTGTAGCTCCTTCTCTCTTTGGGCAAGGGCTTCCTCCTTTGCCTTGAGCATCTTGTTGAAGTCGACCGTCTCCTTCTCCTTGCGCATCAAGCGCACAATGGGGAGGTGCAGAAGCTGCGCCGTGTCGGGGCGGCGGTCTGGATTCACGCGCAGACAGTCTTTGATGGTGCCCATGAGCTCTGGCGAGTAAATGTCCGGCAGCGGGTTGACCTTGCCCTCCTTGATCTTCTGTACGAGCTGGAAGTGCGTCTTTGCGTTGAACGGCGGCTCCCTGGCGCACAGCTCGTACATAATGCAGCCGAGCGACCAGATGTCCGACTTGAGCGTGTACTTTTCGGCAGCGCAGATTTCTGGCGACATGTAGAATGGCGTACCGACGTAGGTTGATGCGAAGTCGTGAGACTGGATCATCTTGGCGAGGCCAAAGTCACCAAGCTTGACGGAGTTGTCTTCACCGAGAAAGACTGCAGATGGTTAGCTCGCGTGCCTCTCCCTTCCGTGAGGCCACTGTCATGTCGACTTACCATTCTCAGGCTTGAGATCGCGATGGAGGATAGTCATGGTGCCAGCAGGAACCTTTGGCCGGACCACGTTGCTAAAGAGGCCCATGGCGTTGTTGCCAGCCTCGGGGGGGTTGGTACCGTAGTGGCAGCGATACAAGGCGGTGACGAGTTGCGAGAAGATGCTCCAGACAAAGGATTCCTTGGCGCGCTCGCCCTTGACAGTCAAGTTTTTGATGATGCGACCGAGGTCGCCGTTGCCGCAGTATTCCATGTACAGGTGAAGGTCCTGGCTGGACTTGAGGTGTTCTCGGTGGAAGTACCCGACGATATTCTCGTGCCGTAAATGCGAGAGGATCTGGAACTCGGCGTGCAGCTGTTCACGCTCCTTGGCGGACATCTTCAGGTAGCTGATCTCCTTGCGGCACATGACGAAGTTGTCCGCCTTTCGACGGACCTTGCGGATGACGCCAAAAGATCCATGGCCTATGGAGAACAGAGAGAGCACATGTGTCAGTGTTTGCGACGCGAAAGACAATGATGAAGATATGTGACTCGACATACCGATCTTCTCGAGGACCTCGTACTTGTCGCCCTCAGTCGTCATGATGGGCGATGCGCGATGGAAGTTGCAAGCAGGGAACACAAACTCCTAATTTCCATAGACGTCGCAGAAAGCTGTGGATAGAGTTTTGTGCTGCTTGGGTTAGTATCTGCCTGGTGTTGAGGGTGTCGAGATGGTGGTCGTGGTCATGCTTGTGCAACTTTGTGATCGCCGTCATTGGGCCTGGGTCACCAACTGGTGCAGTGAGTAAACAGCTGGCGCGGGTGCCATGGCAACGGGGGGCCGGTGGTCGGAACCTCTGTCGGCCCGCTGCTTATCGCGATAAGTTCCCGCGCGGTGCCACACCTCGGCGGTCGCGGCGCGCTTGGTGGGGGCTCATGATGACATATCCGATCGGAGGGGAGAAGGCGAAAGTGGAGCGGGCCTTGCCTCGAGTGGCGTAACGACTCTGGACCCCACCATCTCGACTCTCAGTGACAGGTGCAGGTTCGATGTGATGGATCATATTGTCATTTTCCGTATCATTTTCCATGTTGGTGCATGACCTTGTTGGAGAGCAGGTCGGTTATAGCCTCAGAACGTGTAGCAGCAATTTTGCTCTTGATCGTTGCTGCATTTTCTCCTACTCTCCTCATCCTCTTCCTCTTCTGCCATCTATCCAGTCTCGAGTATGGTCCTACACAAAGGGCAACTGGAGGCCCAGCTGAGGGACGAGCATGTCCTCATAAAAACCGGCGTCCTTCGGGAAGAAAACCCCCTGGACCTGTCCGAGGGCTTTCACGACTTTCTCCAAGCATGCCGCCGAGGCGACCTCAAGAGATGCCAAGAGCTGATTTCCGCCGGTGTTAACATAAACGGCAAAGACAGCTTTGACTACACCCCCCTCATCGTTGTAGGTTTATGCAACATCCGTCGAAAGTAGAGTTTGTGATCCGAAGCTCTGATGCTGATCACGTCGCAAAGGCGAGCTTATGTGGTCATTTCGACCTGGTCCGGCTTCTTCTCGAGTCTGGTGGGCGAACTCCCCATGCTATCATGGTTGACCGGCGTGCTAACATCGGTGTCGAGGTGCACTGGCGGAGCGGAATACTTTCCAAGGCGAGCGATGCATCTACAATGCCCTGAATAATCGAATCCGCAACCTGCTGCTCGAGTATGATTATTCAAAGTCCACAGATCCCCTCCAGCCCTGGGCATCTCACATTACGTCTCTCCTCTCCAAAGACGTGCCCAAGACAGCCGACATTGGCCTCATCGCCGCCTCCGAGTCTTTTCAGCTCCACAAATTCATCCTCGCTTCCAGATCTCCTTATTTCAAGAGGAAATTCTCGGATGCCGCAGGGACGAGGACCTGGAACCTACCAGCGACCATCCCGGCTGATGCCTTTCGCCTCGTGCTGCGCTATCTCTACCTCGGCGATATTCCGAAAGATCTTGTCGACCCACGTAGCATGGCGACCGAGGAGGAGGTTCTCACGAGCGCTGATAAGATCAGCAAGCAGCTTGAGATTGAGAAACTCTGGGAGGCGCTGCTGACAACCGATCGTCGACTGGCCCGTCAACGGTACCAGGACGAGGTCAACCGGGCTCAGAAACAGATCGACAGTTTTTACCGGGAAAACGTCCTCCGGCATAGAATGGTCATCGACACAGAGAGGGTCAATGAGATCAAGTGGCGGCATGATAATGCCATTTTTGCCGATTGCCTGTTGCGCGCCGACGAACCCGACGACGAGCAGACACCCGAGAACGAGCCCGCCGACACGGACGCCGTGGCGAACAATAGCAGCATCCCAATCGGCCCCTTCACCAACGACAAGCCGAAAAAGACTAGGCGGTCCGTCGTGTACCCGGTACACAAGGCCATGCTGCTGCGCAGCCTCTATTTCGAGACCATGTTTTCGGGCGAGTTCAAGGAGGCTCAGGAGGAACAGCACCTGCACATGGTTACGATTGACTGTGTGCCTGAAGTTCTCGAGATCATCCTCACTTTCCTCTACACCGAAAACGCTGAATGCCCGCTCGAACTTGCCCTGGATCTTCTCTACGTATCCGATATGCTCTATCTTGACAAACTCAAGACCAAAGCGGCACAGGTCATCAGTACATTGGGCAGCGGCAACAGCAATGTTCTCGTTGACCGCACACACGGCACAGCCGAAGAGGAAGACACGGAACCCATCAACATCTACGACGTCATACATGCCGCGTGGGACCTGAGGGTGCAGCGGCTCGAGGAGTTCGCCGCTCGGTACCTGGCGTACCGGCTGGAAGACTACATCGACGAAGCCGAATTCGCCGACCTCATCAAAGAAAGTGCCGAGCGGCTGAAGAACCGCGAAGAGACGGACACGATTGAATTACTAGACGATATCCGCTACTATCTTTCGGAGCGCTTCCGGCTGCGATTCGAGGATGCGGGTCTCGACGAGATGATGGACGAGCAGGGCGAGATCAATGCGGCGGCGGCTGCGTCGCTGGCGGAGAGCAGCCAGGAGGCCCAGCAAAAGGCCGAGGACGGCTTAACTCTACAAGAGATCGACCTGAGAGACGCCAAGTCGGCAGAGCCTGTTGAGAAGGAAGAAGCTACCGAAGAGACAGGCGGCGTCATGACGCTCGATGGCGCCGTGGCCGAAGACGAGTTTGCCTCGGATGCGATCAACTACCAGATCCTGCTTGGAAAGATCGACATCATGCTAGAACGCCTTAGACTTGACGCATAGAGATAGATGAATTCCTAGATCAGTATTCATGAGAACCAAATCGGTCAGGCAAGGGCATGGCAAGGCGTAGCTCGTTAAGTGCCGTCGTGCCATAGAGACCAACTCCTTTCCAGTTGAAAAACCAGTCCACTTCTATTTGGATGTCGTAGACTAAAACTCAATGCTCATTATTGTGCAAGATAAAAAAAATGCTGCCAATGTCGGAGTAGAACCGACGACCCTTTTCACTCATTCAGTCATACTATCACTGTTATGGTGACTTCTATCCTGCCTAGCAACGCCGAGCTCCAGAGCATCCTTCCCAAGTCACCAACCCACTGCAGCTGGGCCGATCGAGCCCATGTCGCCAACTAATTGTGCCAGGCAGTTAAGTGCTGATCGTCTCAAGAGGTCCATCGGCAGTCACAGATTTATTCTGATCTCCAAGCTGCACCGCGTACTGCCCGTGATACTCGACGCCATTTCCCTCGCGCTCCTTCCTCAGCCTCCTCTGCACAGCAGCGTCCCGGATCTCGGCCTCGAGGTTGAGCTTCTTGTTGGCTTCGGATGTCAGACAGCGCATCAGATACCTCACGTCCTTAGTGTGAATCTGGTACCAGCCGTGGTGGGGCTTGCAACGCTTCTTGTCGCAAAAGTTACGGTCGGCGCCGGCCATGACGCTGCCGTGCTCAAGGCTGCCCTGCTTGAAGATCTCCTGGGCTTCTTGCGTCGCCATGAAGGCGGCAAAGGGCTGGCGCACGCCGATGGTGTCGAGCCGGTAGTCGTAGCCGCAGACCGAGTCGTCCATCTTCTTAGCCGCGACGAGGGCCGCGCGGCGCCGGCCCGCCATGTCCATGAGCTCGAGCATGCGGCTGTAGGCGACCGTGTCCTCGCCCATCTGGTAGCGCTCGGCGGCGTACTGCTTCAGCTTCAGCTCCTCCTCGTCGGTGAGTGTGCCCGGTGGCAGGACCTTTTTGGGGTCCGACCCATTGTCTGCGGAAAAGTCAGTGATGCCCCGTCTACGACCACCCGTGTCGTCGAGAGAAGGAAGGAAATAAGAAAAAAAGAAAAAGACAAAAAGACTTTCTCACCTCCATCCTCAGGCGCAAAGGGCCGTGCCGCGAGTTTCCAGTTGTTCGTCTTGTCAGCCTTGCTCACAGCATCGCCGAGAAGCGCCATAATCTGCGCCTGCGTGATGTCGCCATAAAGCGTCTTGGCGCCGGATCCATCCTTCTTGGGCATGGCGGCGACGTACTTCTCCCACCACAGCTGGCGGTGCTCGTCGGAGCAGAAGACGCTCTTGTCCTCGAGCTTGACTTCCTCCTTGGTCTCGCGGTCGCCATAAAGACGCGCCTCCTGGGTGCAGTTCTTGAGGGAGCACGTCTTCTTGTAGAGGGTGCGCACGTTGTTGGCCAGGTCTGTGCAGTTGGGACAGACGAAGCGCTCGACGAGGTTGTTACCGACGTCCCTGTCCATGTCGACGCACTCTCCATGAAACCAGTCCTGGCAAATGTCACAGAAGATCATAAACCTGTGGTCGTCCGGGCCGCGGCACAGACAGTAGGGGCCCGGGTCGATGGAGTCGTCGTCGTCAGGGGACGGGCTGGCAGCGCCGCGCTCCTCAAGCTGCGCGGCCGAGTCGCCATCGTCGTCTTGGTCGCCACTCAATGCTTTTGGTGCCGTTTGTTTCTTGCCGACGCGGGAGCCGGGGTTGCCTTTGCTGCGCTTGGTGGGCTTCTTGACTGCAGCCTGACCGCGCTTCTTTGGCGCCGCAGGTGGTGGCTTTTCTGTGGAGGGGAGGACTGTGTTGGAAGATGGAGGGACACTCCTCTCATGTGGAGATGGCGCTGCTGGTTGTGCATCTGGCATGTCGTGATCCTCCTGTTGCCTACTGGCGGGCCCCGAAGAGGGTGACCTGCCGGCGGCTTGTTGACCACCAGCGTGATCCATCGTGATGCACCCTTGCTTGCCTGATGCGACCAAGAAATATGTGTGGGAAGGCAGCAAGCAATTTTCTGTTCGAGTTGAAGCCGACAGACGTGGCTCGCGAAATAATACTGTCGATGATTTTATGAGTTGTGTACGAAATACTGATCAAGAACACCCTCGACTCTTGCCAATTTGATAAGAGCATCTGGAGTGGTGAGTTTGGGTGGTGAGTTGACGACTCGGTGAACACACGTCCGCATACCTCACCGAGATACCGGATGAATGTCGGGGTGTGAGGCTTATCGAGCATGTTTTTTTGGCATCCCGACGCCCGGGCCACCCTACCTCCAGTGGCAGCTTCGGCATCTTACGATGATGGACTCGACCCCGGATTGATTCCCAGGCAACATCATCTTCGCCACTGATTCTACGCCTACGAGCCAACATGTCAAACGCATTGGCACCAGCAAGGACGCTCTTCAGGAGCGTTCTCGGCGCATCTGCCCAGCAGTGCCGACGATGCCTCTCGCAGGCGGCAACAGCGAAGCACGTCCGACCAGCGACTGCGCCAAGCCCTCTCCAGGCCGCGCGAAACCAATTCGCCATGCAGAAGAGGACCAAGGTGTACAAGTCCATCGCAGAGCAGAAGAGTCGGTACCGATCAGGGGTGGGTGTTTCCAAAGAATACGGCTCGGCTCAGCGCCCGGTCGGCAGAGGACGGTCCGGCTAACCAATGTGCACAGCCCTTTTCCTGGAAGGCCGGTATCCTGTTCGTCGCCACGGCCGGCGGTCTCATGTGGTACTTTGAGTTTGAAAAGGAGCGCATGCAGCGGAAGCGCATTGCCGATGCCACCAAGGGCGTGGGCAAGCCCAAGGTTGGCGGCCCCTTCGAGCTGATCGACCAGAACGGCACCGCGTTCACGAGCGAGGACATGAAGGGACGGTATGCACTGGTACGTAGGATGACAGGAGCAATGGCGGTCTGGACAGTCTGTGGATAGGCAGCGTGCAGCGGCTAACCTGCTGTGCCCCTAGGTGTACTTTGGCTTCTCCCACTGTCCCGACATCTGCCCCGACGAGCTCGACAAGATGGCGCGCATGTTCGACCTCGTGGAGGAGAAGCGACCTGGATCGATTCTTCCCATATTCGTCACGTGTGATCCGGCACGCGATACGCCGCCGGTTCTCAAGGAATACCTCGCCGAGTTCCACCCCAAGTTCATCGGGCTGACGGGCACGTACGACGAGATCAAGGCCATGTGCAAGAAGTACAGGGTGTACTTTAGCACACCGCAGCACGTCAAAGCGGGCCAGGACTACCTCGTCGACCACAGCATCTACTTCTATCTGATGGATCCCGAGGGCGACTTTGTCGAGGCGCTGGGACGACAGCACTCGCCGTCTGCTGGCGCAAAGCTGATGCTCGACCATATGAATGACTGGTCCGGCGCGTGGAAGAAGAACTAGACGGATATCGGTGAACCCATCTTCAATGTTGCATGGGTACATTAGGTCAAGCTGTACGAGTACGAGCTGCATGTGTATCAGTAGGCGAGCTGCCGTTGGCAGACAATTAGGACACTATGGAAGATGAGCGATCAGAGACAGGGCAGATGTCCCGAAACCCCGCTCCGTCGCTTGTACACTACGGCCAGGGGGGGTGGAAGGCCGAATTGACAATAGAATGCAAAAGGATGATCAGCATAGGGCCCGACGCTTTGTCTTGCATTGCGTGGTTTCGAGTGACAAGATGCGGCATGAGGCTCGAAACGTCTAGCTCCAATTCTTGGTCGCGGGGTGAAAGTACGAGCGAGTGGGGCCCTGTGCTCGGCCTCCGTGAACCTGCTTAGCTACCTGGCTCCAGTTGAGCTCGCCCATGTTGCAGCTCTCCCCATCATTATCACCACCATCCACCGCTCCTCCAACAAATAGAAGCCCGGAACCTGCGATGAAGGCCTCCATCTGCGCCCTCGGCGGGGCGTCAGTGCGAGCGACGTCGAGGCTGCCAGTGCCAGCAGCATCCACTGCTGCCTTGGTGACACAGAGCGTGCTACGAACCCAATCAAGGTGGGCATCCAATGCTGCCTTTCGCCGTCGCCGAGACGTCAACGGGTCGTCTTCAGGCTTGCCATCTCTCAGCCGCTCACAACAGCCAGCCGCAGCGGTACGACCACGATGGCTGAGTGCTCAGGCCAGCAGCACCACGGCTGTGCCGCCATCCTTTGCCTTTGCCTTTGAGTGGGTGAACCCCATCCCTCGCTCACCTCGACGACGATCTTCCGAGGAGGTCCTTTTGGAGACGACCGACTGACTGCCCGCAGCATCGACGGCGTGCTGCTCCACGTCGCCAAGCCCATCCCCGGCGCCCGTGAGGCGCTCGAGTACCTGCAGGACAACAACATCCCGTTCATCCTGCTGACCAACGGCGGCGGCAAGCACGAGCACGACCGGGTGCGGGACCTCAGCGACAAGCTCGGCGTGCAGCTGACGGTCGACAACTTTGTGCAGTCGCACACGCCATTCCAGGAGCTCGTGCGCGCGGGGCCCGACAGCCTCAGCGACAAGACGGTCTTCGTGACGGGCTCGAACGCGCAAAAGTGCCGCGCGATTGCCGAGCAGTACGGCTTCCGCAGCGTCGTCACGCCGGCCGACATTCTGACGGCGCACCCGGAGATCTGGCCCTTTGAGCCGCTCATGGAGGAGGTGTACCGTACGACGGCGCGGCCGCTGCCCAGGCCGCTGCACGGGCCGGGCGTCGCCGACGCCGACGCGCTGACGATCGACGCCATGTTCGTCTTCAACGACCCGCGCGACTGGGCGCTCGACGTGCAGCTCATCCTCGACCTGCTGCTGTCGCGCCGCGGCATCCTCGGCACCTACTCGGACCGCAACGGCGACGCGTCGCTGCCCAACGCCGGCTGGCAGCAGGACGGCCAGCCGCCGCTCATCCTGTCCAACGCGGACCTGCTGTGGTCGACGGGCTACCACCAGCCGCGGCTCGGCCAGGGCGCCTTCCAGGAGGCCATGGCCGGCGTGTGGGCCAAGGTCACCGGCGGCACGCCCCTGCGGCGCACGGCCTTTGGCAAGCCGTCGCCCGAGACGTACCGCTACGCCGAGCGCGTGCTCAACGAGCACCGCGCCGCGCTGCTGGCGCGGCAGGGGCGCGATGCCGAGGCGTCGACGCCGCTGCGGACGGTGTACATGGTCGGCGACAACCCCGAGAGCGACATTCGCGGCGCCAACGAGTACCGCAGCGAGCAGGGCACGAACTGGGCGTCGGTGCTCGTGCGGACCGGCGTCTGGCAGGCGGACCGTGGCGAGAGCGCGTACCCGCCGACGGCCATTGTGGACGATGTCAAGGCGGCGGTGGCGTGGGCGCTGGCGAGGGAGCAGTAAGTCATGGGCGGCAGCATGGGATCATTGCGTCGAGGACTAGACATGGATTTGTAGACCAGCACGGTAGAGATGTACAATGGAATTGTGCGCTTCGCGGACCCGAGTCATCTGGGATATGGAGCCTTGAAAGACGGGGTCTCGCCCCCCTGACCGGCGTTGCTGGCCTTGGAGCCTGTATGGTATCTATTTAATGCTGCAGCACAGAGCCAAGTATCGAGATATCTGCTCGTCCAGGCCACAGCACCTCATGGTCGGTAGGTAGTTCGGGTCAATGGCAAGAGTGCCTCCACAGCAGGTCGTTGTGTAGTGCCAAAACACGGCAGAGTAGGACGAGACGCCTTCACTAGTCCATGTCTGACATACATCGGTTGGCAGCGGCTTGAGTTGTACGTGCCACACAAGCACAGTCGAGTTGCCTGGCGGAGCTGAGGTTGGTCGGCCCCAAGGCGAGACCAGCATAGTAGGATGGCATCATATAGTAACAAGCCAAACCACCACCCCTCCGTTAGCGAAGCCAGCTGCAGCCTCCCGAGCGCCACGAGCACGTTGTCCAAGTGGCAAATGGCATTGACGATCGCGCCAGTCTGTCCCCTCGCTCGCATGTGATGTGGATGGCAACGTCACTCGATTGGCGTATGTGCTACAATGCCAGGAAATGCATCGGAACGAGTCTGGACGGACCTGTCAACAGTGGTGTTCAGCGAACATGGAGACACAGAGCCCTAAGCTGAGATGAACTTTCTGCCAGACTATCTGGTTCAACACATATCCAAGTCGGCACGCTTTGGGGAAGCTCGTGGCCCGCATCTCGGAGGGGTCGTCCCAGGTGCGTCTAGCGCCTGATCCCTGGCAGTTGCAGTTGGACAGTGATGCACCTGACAGGGGGGAGGCAAGCCAGGGGTTCTTGTGGGGTAGTTGCCTTGCGTGGTGGGTTCAGGTAGCTACAGTACCTACTGAGCTCCCTAGATGCCTGACTGAACCACCTCAGGGTAGGTACGTAGGGTGGTAAGATACCTAAGGTTGGTAACCGAGGTGGTCAGCCGGTCCCTAAGGTGCGGGACGATAAGGCCCTAGGTAGTGCGTTACGTTCGTAGCACCAAGGCCCTACCAGGCATGCACCTACCTACCGACCTAGGTAGGCACCCTGGCACCTAGGTAGGTAGTGGCTGCACTGAGCGGTGAGCGGTTGAGGCACCTTGCTGCCTGTCCCCGGCCCGTACAGATGTGGCTAGGCGGCTCAGCCGAGGCGGTGCGATCAAGAGTGGCGGGGGGAACGTCAAGTTCAAGTTTCCACACGACAATTTCCCAAACAGCGACTCCTCCTCAAAGAACACGAACCACTTCTCACGAGACACGAGACGCCGCTTTTCCCCTCCACCACTCCCTCCATCTCTCTTCCTGCCTCCCCCCTCCTTTTTCCGATGCACGCCGGCTGAAATTATTGCTTTGCACTGGCAGCATCTACCTGTTGTGAGACCATCGCCTCCCAACCACCCTACAACGATTCGAGAGGCCCTCTGAGGACGGAGCCCAAACGCGCAGCAGCAGCTTGACTTCGCCGAGTCGGGCATTCCACTTCTTGTCCCACCAACCCACCTCCGGGCTGTCTCTTTCTCTCCTCTCTCATCGCCTTCGCGCGCGACGCTCGCGTCATCACCATGTCTGATTCACCCCTCCCCAACGCCGCTGCGAGCGCCAGCAGCCAGCCCCTCCGGTCTGCCCTCAAGAACGACGAAGACAACGACAAGTTGACGCCCCAGTGCGGTACCCCCAAAAGTGAGTTCACCATCATCATTGTCAGCCAGACCCTCGTCTTTTGATGAAGATCTGGCCCATGCATTCCCGGGGCAGGCAACAAGAGGCACCAAATCTCATCTCATCCTGGAGAACGAAATCCATGAGAAGACCTGTCGCGCCTCGTCTTGACATCTGTCCATGCTGTATCTGCCGTCGTTTGTTCGCTCAACAAGATGCGCCGAGTGCATTCTGCTGTGGACATGCAACATGACGACATTGCCTTGACATGCCCCCCCCGGCACTCTCTTGCCAAGACGTCGGCGCATGATGCGACCGACCGACCGATCGACAACAAAATGCGACAACGACGACAACGCAGTCAATGGTCACCGTCTCAGCGCTTTTGCCATTTCGATCGTGAGCGTCAGCTGACACACTGTAGTGGTCCAAATTGTTGATCCCGAGGCGGTGCCCCAGGTTGAGCAGGAGTCCGAGTCTACTCTACCCGTCGACTCGCCGCTGAAAAGGCAGTTCTCTGCCGGCATTGCCAAACGACTCAGTGGCCGCAACCTGCCCACGAGCTCCTCGCGCACCTCTCTGTCGAGTCTGGGCGGCCAAGAAGCCGGAGAGACCCCCGAAGAGTCGTCTGAGCAGCATCAGCAGCAGCAGCAGCATCACAGTCATGGCCACGGCCATGGCCACGAGCGACGCAAGCAGCACTACGTCAGTCAGAAGCTTCTTTCGCAGGTGTCGGACTGGCTCGAGCATGAACGCCGTAAACGAGAACAGCGCAAATCAGGAAGTCACGCTTCATCGTCGAGGAGAAAGCGCCCTCAGCAGCAGCAAGAGACCCAGGCCCAGGCCCAGGCCCAGGCCCCGGCTCAAGTGCCGGCCGCCGACACGACGACTGCCGTGACCGACGAAAAGGGCCAGGATGGCTTTCCCTTCCGCCATCGCACCGACTCAATTGATTCTCAGTCTAGCGACATGAGCTTCGACAAATTGCAGCGCATCCTCGAGGAGAACATGGCCGCTCTAGGCCTGGACTCCATTCCGCATCTCGGCCCTAAGCTGCCCCAGCGTCCTTCCGTGAGGGGACACAAAAAGTCCGGCTCGCGGAGCATGCTGCATCGCACCGCCAGCTCCGACACGGATTATGCCGACGGCGACGTCGTCGTGCCATCTTGCGATGCCGTTCTCGACAACAGCAAGACCATGAGCTACAACGCCGGCAAGAGCTCCGACAATCTCGTGTCTGGCAAGGCAGAGGCCAAGGAGCACGAGGCATGGTCCACCTTCCGAAACGAGATTATCCGCCTGGCGCACACGCTACGCATCAAGGGCTGGCGTCGTATCCCCCTCGAGGCAGGCGACAAGATCTCCGTCCAGAGGCTGAGCGGCGCGCTGACCAACGCCGTCTACGTCGTCACACCCCCCGAGGACCTGGAACCTGTCCCCGGCAAGAAGCAGCCGAGCAAGGTTCTCCTGCGCATCTACGGGCCCCAGGTTGAGCATCTCATCGACCGTGACAACGAGCTCAGCGTTCTCGGTCGTCTGGCGAGGAAGCGCATCGGGCCTCGCCTCCTGGGCACGTTTACCAACGGCCGCTTCGAGGAGTACTTCAACTCGGTGACCCTGACACCCAAGGACCTGCGAGACGCGGAGACGTCCAAGCAGATTGCCAAGCGCATGCGCGAATTGCACGACGGCATCGAGCTCCTCGACGCTGAGCGCAAGGCCGGGCCCTCTGTCTGGGGCAATTGGGACAAGTGGCTGGACAACGTGGAGAAGCGAGTCATGGCCGTCGACGACGAGACGCGCGCCAGGCAAGCCGGGGAGCCGGTCAAGCCAACAAGCACCTACCAAGGTCAGGGCTTTGTGTGCGGCGTGGAGTGGTCTCAGTTCCGTGCCACTGTTGAAAAGTACCGCGCTTACCTGACGAGCTTCTACCGGAGCGAGGAAGACATCAACGCCCGTCTGACGTTTGCCCACAATGATGTATGTCTTCCCGTCTCTACTCGCCTTTTTGTTGTACGCCCTTGAATAAGCATCGCTAACAGGCACAGACCCAATACGGCAACATTCTGCGTGTTCGGCCCGACGACAAAAAGTCGCCCCTCCTCAAGCCGGCCAACGAGCATAAGCAGCTCATCGTCATCGACTTTGAGTATGCTGGCGCCAACGTCCCCGGCCAGGAGTTCGCCAACCACTTCACCGAGTGGGCCTACAACTACCACGACGAGGCCAAGCCGCACGGCTGCTCGATCGAGCGGTACCCGACCGTCGAGGAGCAGCGACGCTTCATCCGGTCCTATGTCGAGCACCGGCCCAAATTCCCGCATGCCAGCTCGACGCCGCGCCTGACGCCCCTCGACACGCCCGGTGGCGGCGGCGGCCATGCCAGCGGCGGCACGCCCGTGCTGCACCCCACGAGCTCGTCGAGCTCTATCGTCGACTTTATGCTCGACGCGCGTGTGCCTGCGGGTCAGTGGAAGGAGGACGAGCGACTGCGCGAGGAGCAGACGGAGAAGACGGCGACGGAGCTCATGGAGGAGTCGAGGCTGTGGCGGACGGCCAACAGCGCGCAGTGGGTCGCCTGGGGTATCGTACAGGCCAAGGTGCCTGCCTGTCTAGAGGGTGATGATGTCGCTGACGAGGGTGGCGAGGCGTCGGCAGCCAGCGCCGGAGACGAGGAGCAGGGACAGGACGGGAAGAAGGACGACGACGGCGAGGATGAGTTTGACTACTGGGGGTATGCACGAGAGCGGGCCCTCTTCTTCTGGGGCGATTGCGTGCTACTGGGCTTGGTGAAGGCGGAGGAGCTTCCAGAGGATGTGCGGGCGAGCCTGAAGCTGGTCGAGAGGTAGATGCAGCAAATGGTGAAGAATATAATGCTCTTTTGAATGCATCGACATGGCCCATGGGCACGCAGTCATGACATGGTCGACATTTGGATATCGTGAGAACTATGGAGTTTACCTCTCCACCTTCGAATCTCCTCCCGCCGTCTCTATCTCTTCTCGTCCCGGCGTCTCCGCCACTGCATCACTCGTCTGCTCCTGACCCTGTCCCGACACACTCTCTTCCTCCTTCGTCCCCCGAGGCCCCGTCTCATACACGCCCTGCGCCCCATCCCGATTCGCCCGCCAGACGCCCTCCTCCCCGAAGAACTCCTCCCGCTTCCACACCTCGACCCTCTCCTTGACGAGCTCGAGCGCCTCCTCGCCCGCCCGCCACGCGGGGCCCCTGTGCGCCGCCGCCACCCCGATGAGCACGCTCTCCTCGCCGACGGGCACGGTGCCGAGGCGGTGCACGATGGCGACGCCCTCGAGGCCGTGGCGCGCGCGCACCTTGTCGGCGACGGCGGCCATGGTGCGCAGCGCGCGCGGCGCGTAGGCGCTGTAGTGCAGCTCGCGCACGGGCTTGCCGGCGAACGAGTCGCGCGTCGTGCCGGCGAAGAGGACGAGGGCGCCGGCGCGCGGCGACCGGATCTGGTCGAGGACCGCTGTCGCGGAGAGGGGGGCGTGGGTGAGGGAGACGTGCGTCTGGGGGGACGAGAGGTGCCAGGGGCCTTGGTCGGGGGTGGCCATTGTGTGTGTGTGTGTGTGTGTGTTGGAAGTACTGGTAGGCGTGGTAGTTTTGGGGTTTCTGCCTGATTCGGGATGCTTGGTGGATCAGATGAGAGGGCGTCAGAGGCTGGCTCTCAGATTTGGGCGACGATGATCAGTCGAAATGTTGGATTGTGAAACTTCGTGTAGTTTGTCTCACAGAACGTCCGATGAGTCCCCGATGATGCTCAGTTGATGCTGTGGAGATGCTGGAATTCCCTCACCGACTTCACCGATATTCTCACCGAGCCCCTTTGCTGCAGCAGCACCCCACACGAATAGGGGTAGAGTCGAGGCCTCGATGTCCTACGTCCTGTCACGGATCGAAATGGTCTTCAGAATCAGCTGATAATTTTTACAGGTCTTCTTAGATCAAGCCTTGACGTCCGACCTCGCCGCCGATCCGTGTGCTGTCCACAGACTTAATTCGCAGCCCCAGCGAAATACTCTTCAGCTTCAGCAACGTCTCGCTCTCAGACTGCCCTGCGTCATGTTCCGCACCTTGAAACATCTCATCACGCCGAGCTTCATCTTAGTCAGACTCACGACCGATCACCAGCTCAGCTGCGGCTGTCACACCACGTCCATCGCCTCCGAAGCTGATAGTCGGCCTCACATCAACGGGGACGTCACCCCACTCCGTATCAACATTGGCCCAACCAGACTCAGTACTCGCCTCCATTTGAGACGCAATGTCGACAACCGTGATCTCAGGGTGTTGATATGCGGCAAATCCCGTAGCAGCAACCTCGCCAAGCCAGCCGAGAATCGACTCGCGCGCCCGCACGAGTATCATCTCGACATAGTAGGGCTCGCCCGAGCTGTAAACAGCCGCGGTACCGTGGTTCAGAAAAGTAGAAGTCTTGCTGTTGCCATGAGGTCCCGCGAGGGGCATATCAGCCGGCTCTTCGGATGTAATGTATGCCCGGGCACGCTGCACGGCAGGTCAGCAGTAGAAATGATGAACGACAGTGCGATTATAGGACGGCGCACCTACCTTGGCAAGAAAATCCTTAAAGGCCTGGTGCTTCAGGCTTGCACCGTCGGTGATGCCACCGAGAATGGAAATCGTGTTCATGCGACCTCCCCACCGGGTCCAGACATAGTCTTGGTCTAGGTAGGCCTCAAGCATATCTGCACTAAGGCCGATGCCAAGGAGGTCAAGTCGCGCGTCTTCGCTCGTCAGGGCAGGCAGTACAGCCTCAAAGATGTAGCTGATGTGCTTCTCTGACGTCTCGAGCCCGGGAACCTGGTTTGCTGTGGTGATGCGGCGGCCGTGATGTGCGAGGCTGGCGAGTGGCATATCAGACATGTGGCTGAGGGTCAGGGCGCGCTCTTCCTCAGGCCACCAGAACACGGCGCCCACATTGCAGAGGATGATGCCTGGAGATTGCGAGTCGTCGGGTGACGAAACTTGCTGCTTGAGGGTCTGCACAACCGAGACCATGGTGCCCATGCTGATGCCGCCGGGCCCGTTGGCAACGCGCAAGGCGAGGTTGCCGAGGCTTTGGTTGGGTTCGCCGAATATGACGGTGACTCGTGACTTGCGATGTAAATCTGCGCTCGCGAAGATGGTCACTTGGGGATCTTCGGGCTTTGAGCCAAAGGGAAGGCTATGCTGCTCTAGGCCCTCGGCTTCAAGGCGGGCATGGACAATCTTTTGGACGGCATCTAGTGATCGATCAGCGGGAGAAACCGAATGACTGCGTGCTGCAGACGGACCGTTGAAGTGGAAACGTTGACGGCCGTTGACACGCATGTTCTTGTCGATCCAGTATTTGAAGTAGCGATCGGGGTCAGCGACGCTGCGGATTTCATCATCTTCGTTGATGAAGTACCTGTGACGGTTAGATAGAGTTGCACCAACGAGCGTTTGACTAACCCAAGGTCCTTGAGATTGGAAGGAAAGAGATAGTCTCTGGGGAGACCAGACCACTTGCGGCGGAACATTGTGCAGATCGATGTCTGAGACTGAGGGGAAACCGAGAAGGAAGTAAGCTGACAGTATCGGTTAACGTAGACTCTGGGCGAACGAATATCACGGTGAGTGAATGGTGACTGGATGAGCGGACTGATGTATCGTTTGCGGTGTTCGATCGCTGACGGCATACACTGCAGCTCGTGCCCTAATGTATTGGCAAGGAGGAGAAGTTGCGAGAAGACCGCTTCAGTCTCCTGCCCTCCAGGTTACTACGTACTTAGATACCAGGCAGGAGTCTACTTGCAGGACCGAGGTTTGCAGGACCGAGGTTTGAAGGCACTCCGCCCAAACAATCGCTGGGGCCCCATATCAAACACTGCACCGCCCAAGGCCGATTTCTGAGACGACCAGCACCTCGTTGAACCAAATAAAATCGTCTATTTTCGCCAGGTGGTGGATTGTTGTACATGCTAAGCGTCGGCGCGGCCTTGGGGTCCACCATCCAGGCCAGCAACCGCCCATGAATATCACGCCGTCCAGATATCGTCACGGCACGACGGCAAACGCCATTCGGCCTACTAGTTGTACACTGGCATCGTCCAGAGCTCCCTTCGCGGCTCTACCAGCTCGCCTTCTTCACGCCCGGCAGGTTGCCCTGGTACGCCTCCATCCTGAACGCAAACTGGTCCAGCGAGTTAGCACTTTCGGCCGGGAAATCTGGTCATTTTCGCAACACGGATTTGACGCACCCTGGACATCTTGAAGTCCCTGAAAACACCGCGGCTCTTTCCACCCATAATGCACCGGTTCCTGATCTGCGTGGGGCGCGTATAGGCGTGCATCTGCGTCAGCTGCAGCTGGGCTTCGGCGCGCACACGAGGCGGCAGAGTCGTGTTGCGAATGAGGTATCGGAGGGCTTGCCTGCGCGTTGGTGAAAAGTGATTAGCTAAGGTTCGTCACCCGGTGCGCATGGTCGTGCGAGCTGCCTACCTCTGGGTCTCGTGCTCCTGGAAGACCTGGCGCTTGGCGTTGTCGCGCAGGACGCGCACATTGGTGAAGCAGCTCAGGTCGAGCTTCTTGGGGCGGAACATCGACATTGTGGGCGGTTGGTGGCGGGTTGTGCTGCTGCTCGTCGGGAGGCGACTGTCGGCGGCGGAAAGTTTGGTGATGCGATTGATGGCGGTTGGATGTTTGAAGCGGGTCACGTGGACTACGGCGGGCTATGCCGACAGAAAAGATGCAGGCGTGTAGTCGGCTCCACTACTAGAACTTGTCACTCCACGCCCCTGACATGTACCGGCATCTGACTTGTTCATGATGTGGTTACCCAAGCTCACAAAATGGCATGGCAGCCCGAAACAACGTATCCATCGGACAATCCAGAACGGAAGACGAAATCCCTTTTTTTTCTCTCCATTTGGATCATTTGGATCATTTGGATCACAAGCGAGTGCATGTTTGGAAGTACCTGATCAGACATGAGCAAGCACAATCTACTTCCTACACAGTCGTCCATCGTCGCGCTCTTCCCACCGTTCATTACCAATACATGGCTGGCACCAAAACAGATCATCAGAGTCGAACTTTCTCTTGATCTGCGCGAGCCGCTCGTAATGTTTGCCCCAGAATGCCTGCTGGAAGTTTGGCTCGTACTTCAGGGCCTGTAGACTGTCAACAACCAGCAGCAGAAGGATGACCAAATCGACCTACCTCGTTCACGTAGGAGCCTCCATCAGGCGTGAGCTGTCGAAGCGGCTCAAAATGAGTCGTGAGAGTCTCGATGGCCTCACTCTCGGCTGTCTTGTTAAACGGCGGAAACCCCATGCTGCCAACTGCAAGTTTTATCAGTCTTGTGCATTTCAGTAAAATCACAAACTTGGAACGTCCTTATATGCAAGTACGCCTTGCGCCAGGCTGGGTGGACGGCATTTCCGCCTCCCCGTGGCTTCGCGTTGGCCACGCCTTTTCCGGCCACGAGGAAAGCCGACAATCCACCCGTAGGCCCGCCTGCCGTCTCAAGCGCACTCTTTAACGCATCTTGATCACCTTCAAGCACATCCTTGGGTAGCAACCGCGAGCCGAGGTACGTGGAGTTGCCAGCGGTGCCCTGGTCATAGTACACGTCGTACCAGTCGATGAACGAGTCGAAATGCTGCTCCTGGGCGTAGAAGAAGACCATGCCCGGCCAGCGTTCCTGCAATGTTTCGTTGAGGGCGCCGAAAAGCTCGAGCATCGCGTCGGGCTCCTGATCCTGGAGTATTGTGATGCCCATAAGACCGCCGACCTCCTTAGGCCCGCCAGTGATGGGAAGTGGGCTCGGCGTGCGAGCTGATGAGAAGAAGTAGCCAGACAATCCTGCGTCGCCCCAGGTGGGAAGACGAGAGAAGGCAAGCGTGATGATGTCCCAGAGGAAGGGGGCGTCAGCTGCAGTTCCGAGCATAACCGTGAAGCTAACAATCTTCGGACTCGGGTATGTCGTGAGCGTTATGGACGTGAGGACACCAAATGTGCCGCCGCCGCCCTGGTCTGCGTTAGTCCTGTCGATCGACACATGGTGGCAAGCTACTGACACCGCGAATGGCCCAAAAGAGATCCTGGTTTTGGCACTCGTTGGCCGTTACGATATCACCCTTGGGTGTCACAATTTCTGCCTGGAGAACCTGATCCGCCGCAAGACCGTGCTTGGCACTCAGGATAGAGTGACCGCCGCCTGTGATGTAACCACCTAGCCCAACAGACTTTCCGCCACCCCCGACTATGGTGTGGTTATACTTGGCGGCAGCAAGGTACGCATCATAGACCTGAACACCACCGCCAGCTGTGAGGGCGCTACCAGATATACTAACGTCGCAGCCGTCTGGCATGAACTCGTCTTTATGGTAAGTGATGTCTCTTATGTTATGGGTCCAGATTGACAGAGCACCAGGGGCAATGGACCGTCCAAGGTAGTCGTGCCCTGTGTTTTTCACCACGAGTCTTACATTGTGCTTTCGCGCTGCGATCGTGTCAGACCGATGACCAGGTCGAATTGGAAACACTCACCAAAGTCAATGCCTAGCTTCACGTGTTCGGCGGTGGTAGCGTTGACAACGTACGGAGGATATCCTGCAGGACTGCACGGATAAGAGGGGTTGGGAAGACAGCTATCGTTACTGAAATTGTCCCACATGACCGAGATGGGATGTCCGGTGTGGAACTCGTAGACGCTCCATGCTGCCTCGACGCTGGGGCACATTTCACGGTTGTATGTGGGCTGTTCTGGATGACAGATAGCTCCAGGGGGAGCTGGTCGCAGCAGTCGACCTCCAAGTGAGAATTGAAGCTTGCTCCACTGCTTTGCTGAGGGCCATTGGGGATCGCCTGGGTATACCTTGCAGACCTGTTGTGGTACACAGATGCCATGGCAGAAGGAGGAGAAGCATGTCAAGACGAGCAGGAGTATGGTGGTCTGAAATCTGGACAAAGTCATGGTAGTATTGTGAGAGTAAGGAATCTCTTCAAAGTATCGAATTTCGGAACCTGACTCTCATCCGAAAAAAGTCACATCGAGGATCTTATATGGATGGCTTCAGGTTCGTCATGAGTACAAGCTCCCGTTCGGTCTCCAGTGAGCGGTGCGGAAAACAACGAATCAATTATCGTCAACCGGCACATGAGCAGCCTGTAAGTGAGACGGCGTGCTGTTCTTGACCCAGTTTAAGCGTTGATGACGGGGAGCCGAACTCACTGCCAGCGCTTCCAACCGTTGCCTGGTATTCCCGCTGTGATCTTCAAGAAGATGGCCAATGAGGGTCTCCCGTATTGCTCGCTTTCCACAGCAGCAGCGCTAGCAGAATAAGCCTGCAGGAACAGCCCTACGAATATCTGCACAAGACGTTTGACACGATCAGTGATCCGGCTGTGCGGCATGGTAAGCTTGACTCGGGTGAGTACTGAAGTTCAACTGCTCGCTGTACAATGACTGTTGCCTGGAGCAGTGTCGAACTCGGCGCGAACCTGTCCGACAAGACTCTTTACGTAGTAAGAGAGTCCGACTCGGCTTGCGCAATACTGGATCAAGGAAAATCTTCTATGGCTAAGGTATGTAGAGCTTTGTTGGCTGATAGCCATATCCTCTGGCCTCTGAGATTGGCAGGGGTCCTCAATTGAGGCCAAGCACGGTTCCACCGCCAGAACGAGCACATGTTGCACCTCAGGTACCTGTAGGCACCAGACACAGAGGTACATGGAGCTCGCCCGAGCTCCCTAGCTGTCTCCACTTAAATATTTCCAACGCCAGAGCAGATGTTCCTGTGTTGGCTTGATCACGCTCTAGGCTTCAACTCTTCTCTGTCGATTTGCCCCGGAGTTCGAAACACTTGCACAAGGTCCGCCATGGCTTCAAAACGAGACTACGCCGACTCGGCCAGCGATCACTCCGTCGAGCCAGCCGCGAAGCGATCCAAGAGCCAGTCGAACAAGGCTCGACAACACCAGAACTCCCACATTGATCCGACGTGGGGTCAGAAATACGTCTTTGGCAACCACGACGGCGCCACCACGGTTCCCGTCGATCCAGAGCTCGATTTTGAAGATGACGGAGATGCCATGGCCTATTTGAAATCTGTGAGGTAAGCTTGAAAACTCTCGGGACACAAACACACGTCGACCTCGCGCTGAACCAGTTCTCCCACCCCTTAGTTGAGCGAGTACCTCGTTGCTGACGTGGTGAGTATACAGGCAAGAAGCCAACGGCATCCCGCACCTGCTTGTTGCACCAAAGATACCCATCGGCCCACAGCTACCGACGGACTTCCAGCATTGGACAAGCGACGACGAGCCCAAGGAGGGCGAGGAGGACAGGCACATGGACCGTGGCCTGTACGACGAGGGCACTGGCGACTTCCGAGGCCGCTACGTCGACGGCGCATACATTGGCGCGCCAGAGTCGTGGGATGAGGACGCGGCTTACGGCGACGACGAGGACGGCGCAGCGTGGGACGGCGACGCCGCGGAACAAGACGAGGACGACGCCTCCGACGCCGCCATCCACGAAGCCTACTTCGCCTCGCTCCTCTCCCACTATTCTGCCCTTCGCACCCTCCTCCACAGCAAGCCGCCCGAGGAGGCCGTCCAGAACCTGTCTCGCACGCACAGCCCCTTTGTCGGCCACTTTGGCCCCCGCTCCGCCACATTCAAGATCTGGGACCACCGCCTGCGCACGGCCGACCCGTCCCCCGTGCAGGTCGCGAGCATGGACAAGGATAGCGTCCTCCGGGTCCTGCGCGTGCTGCTGTCGGGCAGCTTCCTGCGGCGCGGGGGCGAGATTGCCGAGCGCACGAGCCGCTGGGTGTGGGCGCTGCTCGCGCGGCTGCCGGACCGTGGCGAGCTGAACCACGTCGAGATGAGCTGGATACGGGACCTGGGCCGGCGCGCCGTGCTGATGAACCAGAGCCTGGCGGACATGGCGAACCTGAGGGAGGCGCTCGAGGGGGACCTCGGGGTGCACGATGCCATTGATGACAGCTCGGATGATGACGCCGTGCTCGAGGACATGGAGGTTGACGAGAATGACGGCGAAGTTGTCGATGCTGGCGATGCTGAAGACGCCACCGCAGGTCAAGACGATCGAGCGATACATCGTAGAGAAGGCCGGGGCGCGGAGCAAACCGAACAAGGTGAGACAGACGACGGCGACAACGACAAGGCCCCCGAGAGCGAACCCTTAGAGCCGGCAGCGGAGCCCAGAGTCGAACCTCGGCGCAAGGACACCAAAGACGACGACGTGCAGTCAGAGCCCATGGACTGCCCCGAAGATGGCGAGGCCTCAGAAGAACAGGTCCCACGAGATCCGCAGGCCCCGCGGTCGGAGGCTGAGAACCCAGAGAGTCTCGAAGCGATGCGAAGTAGAATTCTCGCCGCGCTGGACACAGTCGAGGTGCAAGGCGCCGAAGAGGAGGCGACAGAAAAACAGGCAGCCGAAGACCGGTGGCGTGCAAGAACCAACATGCGTGCGACCCTGAATATGATTTTGACCGTCGCCGGCGACTTTTACGGGCAACGAGATCTGCTCGAATTTCGAGAGCCTTTTACAGGTATGTAGGTAACTTGCACTGGGAGACTCAGGGGACAAGGCTGGTGAGCGAATCCCGGAAAACTGTAAATTCAACGTGGTACTCTAGTGTAGCAAAAGTGTCAACCCAACGCAGGTAATCAAACAGACAGTGGTACAAATGTCCTCAAAGCAGCTCTTGCAGAGTACAACTCCTTCCAACGCCATATGCTGGTGGCCCATCCTCCTCATCGTGTGACCTCGCGCGCGCCGAGTCAAGCATCTGTCATGTCCATACCCTCCTCGACTAGGAAGTCAGCCTCCTCGAAATCCCTCAAGTTCTCTTGCCCTGAGCTCGTAGTCGTTGTCGTTGTCGCGGCCTTGCGCTGCCCCAGACGCCTCGGCATGGCCATCGGCCGGGCATTGGCCCATCCTGCAGGGGACAGGCTCTGCGGGCTCACATCGTCGTCGGCCCAAGCGCTCTTGCCTGGATACGGTACTTGCAGACTGTCTGTCGCAGCTTCTTCTTCGTCATCATCATAGATGCGCTTCCGTGATGAAGCGGAGACGGCGCTCTCGACGCTTTCCTGCGAGCTGGTCAAACCCGGCACATCGTCAATGTCGGGCACGTCGCTGTCGTCCTCGCCGCCGTCGTCAATACAGTCGACAGGCTGGCTCGCGAAGCCACCGATGTTGTGAATGCCGCAAAAGGGAAGCAGTTCGCGCTGCGCGGGAGCCTTGAAGGCGGGCTTGGCCTTGGTCGTAGGGGCGACGGACGTGTCGGACCAGAGCTTGAAGGCGCTGTATGAACCGGTCTTGTAGCCCTCGGGCACACTCTTGCGGACGCGCATGCCGACGCTGAGGAGATTGGTCTGGACGCTCGCGGGGAGCGTGGCGGCTGCCGGCTGAGAACTCGGAGGCGGCGAAGTTGAAGGGGTGAAGAATGAGGTGATCTGGCGCTGGGCGGGATCAGAGGCTGCGCCAGCGAATTGGCGCTTGGTTCGGGGTGTAGACATGGTGGAGGTGTTGATGAGGCGAGGTTTGTAAAACGGAGAGGTGGACTGGGATAACGCAGGGCCTGCAGTGTCGTCGGCTTTTGTAGTAAGGTTGCTCGAAAGGGAAACTTTGTTGAGGTGGTGGTGGCCTTGATGGTTGGCAGCAGCGGTATCGTGTAGCGACAGGTTGGAGTGGAGATGGTCAGTTCGATTTTTACAAAAAGGGAAGACGCAAGCAACAACGAAACGAGACAGTCGGTTGCAAGGGGGGGCCCAAAACGCTCTGTCGCAATGACGCAAATGGAGGGGAAGTTCGGTTGGTAGGGAGACGGAATGAGAAGAGGGCAAGATTCCACAGGTGCTGGGGGCAGACGAGAGGCAGGGAAGATGGTCAGCATGTGGTGGGGTCCGAGGGCGTCGTCACAGCAGCGTGGGCTGGGCCGGGTGCGACTGCCCAAAACCGCCCAAAACCACCCAACACGGCCCTGAATCCACTCAATCCAGGGCGGAAGGAGGGTCCCTGCGTCCTTTCCCCGTCCCGCGTCGGGCGTGTTTTTTCGCGCTCGTCCCGCGTTTTAGCGTCCTAACTGTCTGGGGTGACAAAGAGCTTGCAGTCATTCGTTGTGGGGCATCAGCGTGGCCTCCTACCTTGTTAGCCCACTACCTAGGGGAGGTAGGTACCGCCGACACTGGTGACTGTAACTGCCACCGATTGAGGAGGGCTGAAGCTGTCAACAGCAGCATCCGCATCACCATCAACAGGAGCTATCGAGCATATTCTGGCCGCTACCAATCCTTGTATACCTATGCACCTGGCTGGACAGAGACTACCTTATCCACAGCATCCGCCCTCGTCTGACTCGACACCCTTGCTGTGTGAGCCAACGGGTGACAACGGCTGCCGTGTGAAGTCATTCGACGATCCCCTCCGCATGTGTCGACCGTAACCTTGCCGATCTACCTCTTGGAAAACAGGCTGTTGAAATCCACTCCCTTGACAACACCTGCAACCGCCACGCTCCTCGTATCTGCCGTGATATGGCGAATGTCTTGGTCGATCGCACCTAGATCATCTGTATTGATGTAGCCTGCCAACGCTGTACTGTCGTTTGTGGCCTTGACATCCTGGATGTTTTGCGCACGCCGTGCTGTGGCCGCTTTCTGCATACTTTCCAGGCACACCTCTTGCAACAGACGGTTCGCTTCCTGAAGGACCTCGAAGTCTCGTACAACATCGCGTCGAATGTCTACCGCCGCACCCTCTGGAGCCTGCGTCAGGTGCTGTGTTTCGAACAGAACGATCCGATGGTCGCTCTTGATCTCTTCAGCTTGCTTCCTGGCGCCATCCAGGCGTACCCGAGCTTCTGATTCAAGCAGTCGTGCGCTCTTCACTGTCTCGGCCTCTACACCTACGCCTTTCGGCATCTGTTGTAACCTGTGCTGGTATCAGACCTTGTGCTTCTCGCGGCAAAGTTTTCAGTGTAACAAGGTGGGGCGAGTCGACCTACAGGTTGACCGTTTGCAACGATAAACACAGCGTGTCTTTGTAGTCCGCCAAACGCTCTCTGAACGCCTTGGTCCTGCTGACGCCAAATAGTCCGATTCGCCATCTGTCAGTCCAGAACATATGGGTCTGCGTAGAATGCTTCAGCCAGTTTTTCAGAAGACCTTGGAAGTCGTTGCAGGCAATGCGACAATTGTCCGTGGCTGTCCACATAGTCGAGGTCGGCGCGTTGGCGGTCTGCTGTCGGTCGTCGTCCTGCAGAAAACGGTCCAGCTGTGCAAAGATCGAAGCAAGAGTCTCAAGATCGCGTCGAATGGCCTGCACCTCTCGGGGAGCATCTTTGATATCCTCAATGGTTCGTACGAGTATTTGCACGCTCTGAACGGCAGCCACAACGATACCTACAGTGGATGCAGCGGCACTAAGACCGTCCATCGTGACGACGATTGATTGTTCAGGGTGTTGTTCAAGACTAAATCAGCGCCCAGTCCATCTAGCTGAGCCCAGCTATTTTGAGGCCAACATGGCTTGACACTTCAGCCCAGGCAGAAGCAGGAGGGCGCAGCCTGGTCCATCCGGGCGCTTAGACGTGCGATCTGATAGGGAGCGCTTGGAACGTCGACAGACAAGCGTTTGATGCTGTAGCTGGAAAAACGAAACCGAGTACATACTCAGTTTGCAAATACAACAGCGCAACCCCTTTCGATAAGGTAGACATCATACTTTACTTCAAGCAACGCCAGTATTTGCTGAGGCATCTCGCTTCAGCAGTACCTTTCGGCAGATGAGCGACAGCGCGAACACGCTCGAAGAGCCTTTCCTGGCTTCCAACGCGCAGTTACGACCGCAGCAGAGCATCCGGCATGTCTCAGCGAATAATGGCTCCACGTCCGTCGCTGTATTCACCACAGGGCCTGTGAATCTGCCAAATGCCGTTCACCCTCAAGGTACAAGTACGTCCGGCAAAAACATCACGGCATAGTCTCTGCTCAGATAGGTTGTTTGCACAGCGTCTGACTAACGTCATCATGGTGTATTAGATGTGCTGGCAATCCAGGGGACCAAGCCTAGTGTTATCCAAACTAAGATCTTTCTCTCCGACCCCCAAGTCGATCGCGAGAGGGTTATCACCAAAAAAGGAGAAAGAACACCAAAAACATGCGAATGGATCAAAGGACATGAACTCTTTAAGAAATGGCTCACTGAAAAGAGTGATCTCAGCTTGCTCTGGATCTCTGGTGGACCCGGCATGGGTAAGACAATGCTATCGGTTTTCCTCACTTTCGAGTTGGAACGGCTGTTTGCCGCAACAGGAGATCAGGTTCTCTACTACTTCTGTAGCCACGACGACGCACATGAGAGTTCAGCGGCTGCCATTCTTCGGGGCCTCATTTTTCAACTCTTACAGAGTCGAGAAGACTTGGCTCCCGTAGTCGCGCGTCATCTTCCCGAAGAGGCATCTGCTCAGCATACACGTAACGTCGTAACTTCCTTCGAAAGCCTTTGGATAATTTTTCGAGCTTTGGCCGCTTGTTTCGATCCTTCGATATCATTGTTCTGTCTCGTGGATGGCATCGATGAATACGACCAGGACACTACTGGACCCCTAATCGACAGACTTCGCAGGCCAGGTGCGTTAGGATCAAATGTCAAAATGCTCATCGTCAGCCGAGACATTCCGGCACTTCGTGGCCTTACACGGCTGAAGCTTGACCCTGATAATCATGCTTCGGTGCAGTCTGACATTGGACGCTTCATCGCGTATGAGGTGGCTCAGCTGTCGCAGACGCACAATCTCGACCCGCAGTTCTGTACCAAGATCGAAACAGATTTGCTACGGAGATCAGAGGGGACTTTCCTGTGGGTGGGATTCGCGATGCAGGAGCTCACGAGGCAATCTACTTCAAATCAGATTCAGAATGCACTCGCATCACTTCCGCATGGCTTGAACAGCACATATTCTCGAATCTTGATGCAGATCAAGGAATCCGATAGGCGTCAGACGGCCTTATTACTACAGCTCACCGCCATCGCGGTCCGTCCCCTCACTATAGCTGAACTTGCTTCGCTCATAGGTAATGACGAGTCCCCTGAGGTCCCTGCCGAACGAGCGACACTCGATGCAATAGCATTGTGCGCCAACATTCTCAGGCGCGATGACGATCAGGTCACGTTTGTCCATCTGTCGGCGAAAGAGTATCTGCAGAAACAGCTGCCGATCCTTATGAACAACCAACCCGGCCTTCGCACTTTCTATATTAGTGATGAGGATGCTCAACTATATCTGGCTGAGGCATGTGTCATCACCATAGAAGGCAGTAGCTTTCAGGACAACAAATTGTTCGAAAGCTTGGACGAAAATTCCGAAGATGATGCAACTGTCTCAGATAACTGGTCGCTTGCGAATTGCAATTCTGATGCCGAAACCGATTCCGACGATCACGAGGACCTGTATCAGTTTGAGCCGCTCCTCGAGTACGCAACCCTGTACTGGTTCAGACATGCTGCCTATTTGAACACCAAGTCTTCGCAATTATATAATCTCCAGAGGTCCTTCTTTGGCGAACATTCAGTCACTCGAGCGAACTGGTTGCGCGCGTACATCTATCATCGAAGCTATCGCGGCCAAAGCTTGTCTCAAGACTCTAACCTCCTAATTGTTAGCGCTCGCTTTAACGTTCTCAATCTGGCGATGGCACTTCTCATAGACCCCAGAGGTAGCTACATAAGTCGTTGGCTCACCAGGCTCTCGCGGAGCTTCGATTCTGCGCAGACGGCAACGTTAAATGAAGCGCTGTGTGTAGCATGCGCAGAGGGCCACAGAGCTTTTGCCAACGCTCTTCTTCAAATGGGGGCCGACCCAAATGGACATGGCTATACAGAATCGACACCACTCGGCGCGGCCGCATCCCTCGGCCGTACGTCCATTGTGCAACTTCTTGCCGATAATGGACTCGACACTTCTCAAGAAGAATATCTGGCTTATCACAGGAAAGCGTTCTGCAATGCCGCAAGCCAAGGAAACAACCGCCTTGTCAGACTGTATCTAGGCGAGATACCGGACGAACAGAAGGGTCGACAACAGCCGGGTCAACCACCCAATTCTGACCGACTTCCTCCGTCAGGCGACCAAAATCAGATGAAGAATGCTGTCGATATTGACGTCAAGGACACCTATGGGAGGACACCTCTGCAACTAGCGGCGATGTACGGACATACCGGTGTCGTCCAATTTTTGCTTGACAAAGGGGCGAATGTCGAAGGAGCGCTGCATATGGCAGTAGCCAGCAACAGTGTGTCTATTGTCCGGATGGTCCTGTCGAGACATCGAGACTGTAACGTTTTCGACGAAGACCACAATACTCCGCTACACCTGGCAGTCCGTATACCAAGCTATGACATTGTTTGCTGTCTGCTGAAGCATAATGCAAATTTTCTCCTGCGAAACCGGCAAAACTTGACACCCCTCCAGGTGGCAGCGACACTGGGAAATGCAGAAGCTGTCGCGCTCTTCTTTGATAGACGCCCAAGTAACCAAGTTGAAGATGCAATTTGGATAGATGCAATGGGGAGGGCAGCATCCCGGGGCTACGGTAATGTCGTGACGGTATTGCTTGCGCGAAGAGTCCCGCCAGATCTGAAGGATGGTTCTGGGATTACCGCACTGCAGAACGCCGCGTCGGAAGGATCTGAACAGGTTGTTAAGCTTTTGCTCAATGGTGGAGCGGCTATTGACGCGCTCGACAACAGCGGAGAGACGGCCCTGTTCTTCGCTACGCAATACTCACGTAAGGCTGTCGTAAAAACGCTGCTTCAATACGGAGCAGATGTTACTATTACGAACCCCGAGGGATGGACAGCACTCATGTTCGCAATTCAAGGAGACGATGTGGGAATACAGGCACTGCTCCTTTCGAAAGGTGCTGTGGTAAGTGAAGAGCAGAGGCATCTGCTTCAGTCTATGTTTGCAGATAGGCTCTCGACTAGGCTCGAGGTTCCCGGTCTTGGAGGAATCGAGGATTTCGTAGAACAAGGAGTATGATGATGTGATCACATCAGGGACGGCGCATACGAAAGGTTTCGTTTGACACATGATAACATATGGAGTGTAGAGCTTGTAGTTATGAGTTTCAGTCAAACCGAGAGACTCATACCATTCACAGTTGGTTTGGTTGACCACCAATGTCTGGCCTTTGCGCTCAGTGGATTGACGCCTAGAACCATGCACTCTGAAACAGTCAATAGCGGCGCCTTCATGCTCGTCACATCGCAACTACACATTCACCTTGGGGAGTCTCCGGATTTGCATCGCATTTCGTGGAAAACCGTTGAATTCGCAAAGCACAGTGCTACTTCCTGTCCACTGCACTTGGGTATGTAGCGATCCTCAATCAGCGGTTCCACGTCCTCACATCAAGGGATGATCTCGAAGTAAGACCAACCCATTGGTGCTCATGTGGAAAGCCGTCTTCAGCTGCCCACCCAGGCCATGCGGACGCGTCCCTTCCATGGGACAAGGCGGAGGAGGAAAAAACGGATAAGTGTGATCGGCGGTGGAAGAGAGAGAGAGATGGAGACGAAACGTGTGCGAGAGAGAATGCGTCGATTGTGATGCAAGATATCCGGAGACCCCAAACGCCCCTTGTTGGTCAAGGATTTTTTTGGATGTCCCATCTTCTATCCGCAAAGGGCTGTCTGATTATGATCGGGAACAGCAGGCTCTAATAGCCCCTGTCAGGGTGTTGTCTATACGCCATGTCGCAGGTGCTTTTTGCAGATCCGAGATGAGAGCCACCATCGTGAACCGTTATCCGTCGTGAAACCCAAAAGAAAGGAAACCCGTCAAAGCGACGAGTCTACTTCCTCCGGAAGGAGCAGCCCTCGGTGAGCCTGGCCTTGCCACCAGTGGGCTGGCAGAGGACGGTGGTGCAGCCCTGGCAGATGACAACGGTCTGGGCGTGCGAGAAGACGGTGGTGATGGTGAAGCAGCCGGGGCACTTGACGTCCATGAAGAAGGAGCGGGGGGCGGGCACGAGGGTCTGTATCCACATCTTAGCATTGGGGGACCAGGACGGTCACGCGAGAGTGGCCGAGGGTGAGGGCAATCGTACCTTGAGCTTGTGCTTCTTGGCCTCGGCGGCAGGGGAGGGGTTGAGGAGGTCAACGGCGAGAACCTGTCGACAATTCATCAGCACAACGTTCGGTCCTGGTCAAACAAGCATCCCGACGTCCAATCCAGGTCCATATTCCAAGTCGTGTTCCCAAAATATCTTCATCCTCGTGATCTTCATCGTGGTCGGGCAGTAGTGTTGTGGCGAATGATTGTAGGCGTCATCGAGGTGGTTGGTCGTCGGTTCGTAGTCACACACGTGTCGCTGGAGGACGTCGAGGGCAGCAGCGGAGGGAGTCTCACCATCTTGACTGATTTCGTTGATCGATGCGAAGAGTCGGATCGGTGCGAGTGCGGATTGTCTTGACGGAATCTGGAGGGGTTGAATGGCAGATTTGGACACTCGCAGGGTGGTGGTGAAAGCAGAAAACTTCGGTGTTGCGGGTCGGGGTTTCGCCTTCGTCTCCTCACTCGCCAGGCTGCACAGGCGTCGCCCGGGCTGAACGATAGTGCGGATAGGGTTCGCTTGCCCCCGACATTTTCACCCCGCACGTGACACTCAGAGGCTCCACTTCCGTGCTCTCGACTTCGGTGTGGTCGGTCAGTGTCTCGGTGAGGGGAGCATTGGTGGGGTAGCTGTATGTCATAGCTCGATGGAGGGGTTCGTTTCTGGAATTGGCGCTGTTGCCTTGACTGTCGCCTGTTGCCTTCAGATTCCGCGACATACCGTATCGCCCCAGTACGACTCGAAGCCCGAGCAAAGTCATATCACTTGACATTCAAGCTTCTCGCCACGAGGCACAGACTCATCACAATGGCGAATCCTATGGACCAGAGGATAGCGGTTCCTATCGATGACCCAAACGCAGACACTGAGTGGTAGGTCGAGCTTAGCGACGCCGTAGTCCCGGCGCATCAGCTGATTTGAAAACAAGGAATGAAATCTTGCGCAAGCATGGAGTGATCCCCGAAAAGCCCCCGAGCCCGACGCCGATGATTGAGGAGGCCATTTTGGAGGGACGACGGATAGCGCACGAGAATCGCCTAGAAGGCAAAGACCTGGACGAGCTGGACGAGCTAGAGGACGAAGAGGATGAAGCTTTCCTCGAGATTTACCGTCAAAAGCGCATGCAAGAGATCTCGTCCATGCAGTCCAAAGCAGTTCACGGCAGCGTATACCCTGTTTCGAAACCCGATTACGCACGCGACATCACAGATGCATCGCACAAGGGCCCTGTCTTGGTCAATCTGATATCGTCTTTGGGCACGAACATCGAGTCCCGCGTGCTTTCGGAACTTTGGAAGATGGCAGCGCAGGAGTACGGGGAGGTCAAATTTTGCGAAATGCGAGCGGACAAGGCCATTGAGGGATACCCCGAACGGAATTGCCCGACTATTTTGGTCTACAAAGACGGAAATATCGCCAAGCAAATCGTCACATTGATGACTGTTGGCGGCGTCAGGATGAACATGGCCAATATTGACAACCTGCTTGTCGAGATCGGCGCTGTGTCCGAGAAGGACCTGCGTGTGGTCAAGCGAAGGAGGCAAGCTGAGGATGCAGAGGAAGAGCGGGCCATGGGCAAGGGAATCAAGACCGGCAACATCGGAAGGTCGAAGAAGGACGAGGACGATGACGATTGGGACTAAGAGGCAGGCAAGCGAGAGTATGGACGAATGCAGCTGTTCCTACAAAAGGGGCATTCTGGTTGACCCTGCGCTACCTAACTCTACCTACCATCGCGGCAAGGTACTAAAAGAGCATGGGCGAACTCAGCCACGCGGCTGTTGTGGCCCAAACAGTAAAAGACACTTCAGTGCATCAGCGACGGTCAGCTGCATAGCCAGGATTGCATTGTTTGATTACACACCGGGAGTCGGGTGACTGCCTGCAGAAGTCAAGTTGTTTGACGATGGCACACAAGCCTGAAGATTCTCACTCTCATGCCACCTACAGTACCTTCGTTGGTACATCAGATAACTGGGTAGGCAATGTGGTTGGAGCATCCAGTACCTCGACCCCACTAATGTCTTTGGGTGATGGACCCTGAAGTCTGGCGCGGTGCACCCCTGAAAGGTCGCGTGGGGTGAACCGCCCATGTCTCGTGTTTATTCGGGGGCGGGGGTTCTTGCGTCACGAGTCAGAGCACCAAGTCGCGTCGCGCTTCTTTCTTTAACAGCATACTGGAGAGCTTCTTAGAGGTCACCGCGTGCTCTCTACGATCTGCCGTCGTCTGATGCTAACCAGCGAGTCTCTTCACCATTCCAGCGTAATTTACTTGATTTATTGCATGTCCAAAATGGCGGACGAACCATCTCTACCCCGGCTACCGGCGATATCCTGGAACGAGCACACCCAGAGCTTCAGCAATAACCCGCGGAAACGCGGTCGAGCTAGGCGGTCGTCCAACGCAACACCACTCTTCAACAACTCAAGCGATCCCGCAGTCTTCTCGAGCGACGATGATCCTGCTCTCGACAATTACGTCGAAGGCAGGCGCAAGAAGCGGTACGTAGGAACCTGGTTCCAGCAGCAGCCGGCGTCCGATTCATCTTTCGAAGTCGAAGAATCCAGACCTTTGCCAAAGCCGAAGAGGACCCTCAAACGACAACTCGACAGTGGTGTCTGGATGGGAAGCGACAGCACGGATGGGGAGGAGATGCTTGAGGAGTTGAGCCTGCCGCTGCAGCCAAAGCTGCCTCAACTGAACCGAACACCCATTCAGAGGCCAACCTTGTCTGCCGCCGAACGTCTTGCCCGAGAGAAGATTCAAAAATGTCTCGACGAAGGAGATGAGGATGTGGATTTGTCGTGAGTAAACCTCATTGCCTGTTGATCCGGCCGATTCACTAATCACTTGCAGTATGATGGGTCTTGAGAGCCTGTCGAACGCGACCATCGCACCTCTGGCCGAACTCGTCCCAATACCCCTTGTTGCCGAAGACGTTCCATTCGAGCAAAAGGATCCTTCGCTGAAGCTTTTTCTGTTCGGCAATCCTCTACTCCTCGTCCCAGGAGCGATCTTCGACCTTCAACACCTAACCGTGCTAAGCCTGCGTGGCTGCGGCCTTCGGGAACTGCCAGCTGCAGTTGCAAAGCTTTCTCAGCTTGAGACGCTCAATCTTGCTCAAAACTCATTAAGGCACCTCCCGGCCGACCTCTTGAACCTACTAGCTGCGCCAGGGAAGCTCAAGAATATGCAGCTGCAAGGCAACGACTTTTACCGGCCGCGTGGCCTCCCACAGGACATTCCAGATGGCGCCAGCATCCGTCATCCAGCGTACGAGCCGGATAATGAAGCAAAGAACGAGTTCGAGAAGCAAGAAGACCGCTTAATCACGAGATTACCTGCCCAATTCGAGGGCGTGTGTGCCATGTACCTCGCAAGATCCGCGGTGCAGTTTTCCGATACCTCGGGTTTCATATACTCCGACTTCCGCTTGGACGAACATGATGAGGGCATTATTCAAATCGACGAATCCGAAGTCGACACGATTTCAGCATGTCCACCATCCTCGGCGCCGTACCAGTCAAAATCAACGGGCAGGAGCATTGACACTTCAAAAGCAACTCGCGTGCCAAGCCTCCTGGAGCTGGCGGCACGGAGCTGCTACCGGAGTTCCGACCTGGAGGAGTTGAAACACTATCTTCCGGAAAGTCCGTCCCACATGAGGGACTTGCTTGACCGTGCGGTGATGCAGAGGAGCATTGGTGGATATGAGTGCACACGGTGCAAGAGGACACTGGTCATGCCCTCCACACAATGGCTGGAGTGGTGGCGCGTGTCACAAGTTAGGGCGCTGTCGACGCCGACGCTCGAAGGACAGGGCGCGACGTTTGTTCCGTGGTGCTCGGATCCAGACGAGCAGGGCGTGCCGTTCCTGCGGATGGGCTGCTCATGGAAGTGCGTACCCGAAGAGAGGAGGATCGGAGCGTGGGCACTCCGAGATGACCAGATTGAGTGAACATATGTGTACATTGAACATACATCTACTTGTCGAATATGAACATCGCTCGCCGAGAGTTGTACATTCAGAGGTCTTGTTTTCTCACAAGCTGCTATTTTTGGCACTCACCCCTGCCCCTTCACAGATTGTTCCCTTGTTGTACCACTTGACGACCGGCAGCATTTCTGAGGCGACCCATCTTGCCGTTTGCGAGTGTAAGCTTCCCTGCCCGAAGGGCTCGGTTGCCTTGTCCCTCCTCCGCCGATCTCCAATCTCGAGCCCCTCGATCGCCTGCGTAGCTTGCACTGTCGACGACTCTCCCTCCACCGGGGCATCGTCTCTTCGGATGACTGTTTGCCCCTCGGCAAGTGCCTGGAACACAACGAGCTGATCCTGCAAGTACTCATCGCAGACGCCAGGCCGTTCGACCTCCCGCGCCAGCTCCACCACCAGTTTCCTCGAAAGTGCCGTCGGAAAATCCCCCTCCTTGGCCCTCGCCCGCTCCTTGCTTTTGCCCCCTTTGGGCATCGACGTGAGCACATCCCGCCCCCAACGCAGGCCGCCAGCCGACCGTGCCACGAGGAGCACGTAGACGCGCGCATCGTGGCCCGAGTCCTCCACGGTGCGGAAGACGACTTCGGAAGCGGGCAGGCGGCTGCTGACCTGCTCAGCCAGCCTAGCCTGCAGGTCCCCGTGCAGATGGCGCGGCGCTAGGATCGTGACATCGACGGCTGTTACACCCCGACACGCTCCTGTGTGCTCGGGCGGCTGCTGCTGTGGCGGGCGCAGCTTCTCGCCCCTTTCCAGGGGCGTGATGCCGAAGCGGATGGCGCCGCGGCTCGGGGGTCCGAGGGACCAGCCGCGCCGGATCAGCGTGCGTGTCACGCTGATGCCGAAGCGGGACTCGAGAGCTGGGAGGAGGACCTGGTCGGCGTAGTCCCAGGAAAGGGAGAAGCTGACATTGGTGCCGGCGGCGATGTCGAGGGTGATGGGGTCGCCCGCGGCGAAGATGAGGAAAGGCAGCAGGGCCTGGAGGATGAGGAGGGCGCTGGCGCCGGGCGACTCGGGAGTGATGGTGATGTGACGCTGTGCGAGGTCGGCTGGTGGCAGGGTCGGAGAGAAGGTGAGGCATCTCGCGCCGACGGCCAAGCTCGAAGTGGTGGCAGCTGTTGCGGCGGCCAGGTACTGGATGGAGGTGGCGTGCTGCGACTTCAGACCTGGACAGTGTCAGGATCAGATCTTGCTCTTCGGCCTCGTACTACTGCTGGCAAGCAGAGGCAGCAGCGAGCGGAAACCCAGGGGGGGGGTTTACTTGCCACCTCCACGACTACGATTACCCCTGATTTCGGATACTGTCACCAGCTGTGACGTAACGGCTGCGAGCGCGACGGCCACACGCAGAACCTGGCCACCACCCTCTCCGGTCCTACCATCAAGCTGTATGGGCTTGGAAGGGTGCTTCATCATGGGGTGTCGTTGCCTCGTCGCGATTAGTGATTCAACAAACTCGTTTCATGGGGTAACACGGACATGCGATTGGGGGCCAAGACTCAGAGAATAGAGCAAGACAAAATGCTGAAGATGGGGAGTATTCAGTATTCTCACGAGGCAGTGAAGATGCTGAGAGCTCAACAGTCCTCATCTGTATTGTAAAGAGAGCATCTTTGCCTCCAAGCATGGGATGGTCGCCCATTGCGTGCGCCGTTACCTCGCCCAGGCAGCATCGCCAGCTGAGTCACGCCGGAAGCATAGGCAGCCCCAACGGATGGCGAAACACTACACAGGGTATCACAGGCAACGAGTAGGCTGAGGGGGCTATCCAGAAGTTGCTTGATTGAAAACATTGACGTGTGTTGAATGCACAAGCTCCTTGATTATAAAATGCACGGGTCGGGCAACGGAATCCGCAAGTGATCGTGGCTCATCCTTGCTTTGCCTCACCTTAGGTGCCTACCCACCTGGCTTGCCTGGGTCGGGGCACCGTTATGAAGCCCTCCGCGGTTGCGGCATTACCACCCACATAGACCAGGCACACAATCAATGATCTGTCCCTGGAAAACTCTTGAAGCCTGCTCGTAGGAGAACAAAATTCTGTTTCTTCCTCTTCCTACCCTCATCCTGGCCCTCCAATTCCTGTCGTCCCGACTCAATAGCTGTGCTGGGATGGGCATGGCTGTTCCGCGTATCATCGCATGCTGGGGGCTTCGTTCTGATACCAAGATATGCAAGCATAGGCTCCCGAACTCTGCACCCGTGGTATCACCAGTAGCCTTCATGTTTCGGAGTGGATGCCAACTCTTGCTTTTTGCGAGGCGGGTGAGGATAGTCACCGGCTTTCCCCTTGCCATGTACCTTTTGCCCCTTGAAGACCTGCTGTTGCCTTGCAGGCTGTTTGTCTCGTGACTGCAAGTTCCTCAGGGCTGTTGACTCGATACCAGGCAACCAGTCCCTTTCAGTCGCTGTTCACCAAGCATAGGACTGCCATGCCATATGACCTGCAGCCACGTAGGAGGGGTATGGCCTGGGATCATGTGAAATCAGTGGTCGATAGCGTCGATGTCTGTGTATATAGCCCCCCCCCCCCTCCCCTCCCTTCTGTTTTGATGGCTGCTTTCCGTAGCTGCCGTGTGAGTCGTGCCAACCCCAAAAATCTCAGGGATCCTATCTGACACTACCCAGCTTGTCTTCGGACAATAAAACTATAGTGCGAGACTGCTTCACCATCCATGGCTTCAGTCGGCCGGCTAAATGGTGTAAGCGATTCTGACTTGGTGTGAGCATCAGCTTGCTGATGCGGCCTCGGTGGCATGGGAACGAACGTCCTCGTCAACATCTACGATCAATAATGTGGCAACTTTGGAACCATATAAGCCATCCGATGGGTTGCCAGAATAGAGAGCTTACTTATTCCATCCCTTCAAATGTTGCGTCTCTCTGTGGCCCCGGCCTTTCCGGGCGGCAAAACTTGCCGACAGTCTTGCGCGGCCTGACGACTACGCCACACCGACTGACTTCACTCATCCTCATATAAAGTTCCGAGACACGGACAGTCTGGTACGCAACAGACAAGAAAATTTTCTGCGAGAATTCTATTCTATCTATGAACCAAAAGAAGGAAGGGAAAGAGAGGCTCCACCGTCCACCCGTACCGACTAGAACAACCCTGAGGGGAGCCACAGATGCGATGACAAGAGAAGGAAATCAATATGAAACAAGAGTCTCGACCACAGAATGCCATCGCCATGTCACAACCTTTAAGTACGTGCGAACGTCTTCTCTTGTGATCAAACAACCCGAAACCCAGCCTCCAGTCTGTGTACATCAAGGTGCACACAACAAGAGAGGCATCGACTCAACGACACACCATGCCACGTCGGTTCGATCTAGTCCGACCTTGAAAGGAATTGTCGGACAGGAGTTGGTGGGTCCGGTGACTTCGGCCGAGAGGGAGGCACCTGGCTTCGTCAGTCCGTGATCAGAGGCAAGGTGCGCTGTTACCATACCCCAACAATGGCTCGGCATAGGCACTGGACAGACCACGTTCTCAGGACCGCTTGGACTTGGAAGCCTTGGACTTCTTTGAGAATTTTTCCACGGCATCGCGATACTCTTGTGTTTCAACCGGACGCTGAGGGAACACGACGACTCCGGCATAGCCTCTTTGGCTCTCTTGCTCTTTCGAAATTTGGTACGTGTTATTACGATCAGTCAAACCCTGGGCGAAGAGAGTCTTCTGCGAATAATCTTGGCCGCCATTTGCACCCTGCTGGTTGGATGTAGTTGATCTAACAGGTCAGCACATTTCGCTGTGTTTTTGACACCGGCATGGCGTGGCCGCGTGACGCACTCCTCAAAAGTCCCGGCGTTCGAGACGTTGGAACTGGGACGCTGGCTGGTCCGTTGTTGTCTCGAAACGCTGATGTGTCTGCTAGACATTTTGGGCGAGGAGGGTGGAAGGATGATGACAAGAATGCTTGGGTATGCGAGCTTGGAGGTATGTTGCTTGTTGCGGCTGAATCGCTCGTTTTATATCTTTAATATTAGCTGACAGAACTACAGGTGTCGTACTTATACTCCAAGGTGTTGCCAAGGTCTGGCTCAACAGAGTGCGAGCGAAGGTGGCTGTTCCAGGGGCTTAGTTTCACGGCTGCCTGGCGACCCCAGGTAGGTATATTCGGTGAGCTCAGTGAGTAGCGTACCTCAGTCGGCAAGTCGTGCCTTGTATTAAGCCCTCTCGTCAGCCCCGTCAAGGCTAACTAGGTGTCTGAATTAGTCGGGGCTTTGCTCAAATCGAAAATCGATTGAAAAACGCCTAGGTGACGGTTTTGCTCACCCCTGAGCAATGGACACTGCATTGTATTGCCCAACGGCGCGTGCTGCTGCCTGGCCGGCCGGCCGGTAGCGCTGGAGCATCGACCCCCTGGTGCAAAGTGTACAAAGTGTACAAAGCCAAGGTCTGTGTCTGCCATAGCGGGTACTTGGCAAATCGCTCGGATGAATAGCGTGGTGCCGTTGATGGCCTCGGGACGGTTTGCGGACAGAACCGAGGATGTCAGCCCTTCAAACCCCGTTTTCGCTGTTGCTCGCTGGCCGCCGCTGCCTCGCGACTTTATTCGAGGCTGCTCAAGAGGCGAATGTTAACCACTGGCCCACAGCGATCTAGGTCAGATCGTGGGTCATGAGAGCAAATGCCTTCCGCCGGAACGATGTGGGACATGAAGGCAGAGAAAAGGGTTTTACGTCAGAAGGCTGGTGAAACTCCTCCATCCGGGCTGCGGAGTCTTTTTGATATATGTCGACTGGAGGGCGAGAATAGCCTGGACATTCGTTATCAGCCCCCCGCTCCATGCAGCCAGCAGCTGAAATGCCATTCAACACCCTCCCAGTGCCTCGCCCAAGACACCACAGTGCTGCCGGCTAGGTCCCTAGGACGGCACAGCACGCCCTGGAGCCATCACAAAAACCAGAACAGCAGCCAAGAAGAGGGCCAAGGAGAGCTGTTGACCAAACTCAATCAAGTTTGGGACCATTCTTCTCCTTCACCGGGGCACTGTCGCGGCAAGATTTCATTGCTGGCTGTCCCCAGCCTTGGGCTGCATGTGGCACCAGAACGTATCTGATGGGCTCAACTCCTCGGCACCATCTGCATGGATCAGCAGGTTTGGCTAGCCTGTATTTCTCGAGGAACTCTTCCTCCAATGCGCGACAGCGCCAACCTTCCATGGGGGTGCCATAGTGTTATTATCGGGGTCATCACTGTGGGAAGCTGGTACCAAACCTCTTGAGCTGGGTGGAGCAACAGTGGCTAAAACATCACCACTGCAGCATGGGCGCAGTGATCACTGGGCTGGCTGCTGCAACCTTGAGCCAATGACATTGGATCAAGCGCTTCGCTTTCCCAGATTCTGGAGGAGAATCTACGACGACAAACGCGCTGTGGTTGGACCTACACGTATATCACTGTCAAAGGACACCAGGCAGCTGGACAAGATGGAATTTGCACCATGGCTTAGCACTTGGAGACTTCTTTTGGGTATTGCGGTACCAGACAGTATCCACACAATGATCTCAGTGTCATTCTGTATCAAAGGAACCAGATCGCCATTCCTGCGCATTACTGTCGCAAGTGATGGAACCAGAAGCCACAGCCGGTTGAACGGATCAGTCGTCATCACCAACACCAACACCAAATGATGGGCTGGAACTCCACTACCTGCAAAGCCCCAAGCCTAATCTTGATCGAGAGATTATATTGTTCAGAAACAGAAGCATGCGTTGCAGCCAAAGCCTGGTTATGCAACCTACCTCAGAAGATGGAAAGGCATATCTCCAGACATCAGTGAAGTATGGCAACCTAGGGGAGCCTTCATGCCCTAGACCGCTTCTTTTGAAACTTATCAACATCAGATATGGCCCTTTCCCTCTCGCGCTTTCTCTGGTCCGAGGATGATTTCGAACCAATGAATGCTGCTTGGCCCCCATGCGAGCGGTGATCACGAACATAGTTGTTCGTGTTGAAAGCCGCTACCTCCCTTCTGAAATTTGCCTCTTGCGCCTGGTGTTTCTCTCTTTTCACAGAGTCTTCCATATCCTCACCGCTAGGAGTGGTCAGTCTTGGTGCGATATCAAACGGTGAAGAGGAAACCGACCTCCCATACTGGTTCGCATCTGAACGGCAATCGACATCATACTCGCTGTCAGAAGCGGCTGGCCTCTTCTCTTTCCTCTTTTTTGACATCCGATCTACCTTGCCACTTCTCTCGAGTTGGGGATAAGCGACTTTATTGGACAACGAAGAGCTTTTGTAGGTCTTAGAAGACTGAGCATGCCTCTGGTCATGTGCAGATCTCGAAGACCGATGGCTGCTTGAAGACGACGTGTCTTCTGTCTTGCGGCTCGACTGGTGGCTTCTTTTCTTTCCCCAATCTGCCATAATGAATATTTTTCTCGAGAATGTATCGGTTCTGGTGTGCGCGAATCGGACTCGGGTCGCTCGATTTGAAATCGGCAGAGTTGAATTTTCGAGGAGATGCTGGGAAGAAGAGGGGATCCGGCAGCAGCATGCCTGTGAGGGAAATGAGCTTGTTAAAGATTTGGCTTCACCACTAGGTCCCTTGTCTCTTCGGATCCCAATTCAGGCCACGCGTCCAACCTCTCTCGCAAATCGCACACTACCTGTTACACCGAGCCATGGTTTCCAACGAAAACAGTACAGCCCAGTTCGGAGGCGTCAAGTGGGATTCTGAGGGTGACGACACACAGGACCAAGTGCCTCAGAAAGGCGCTCGACCTCTTCGCAAAGTGGCTCTCATGACGATGATGAAAGCCTCACTATCGCTTAAGCACATGTTGCGTCTTGTGCCCGTCGTCGTTTCGACCACAGCTGCTTCTTTCAAGTCAGCCTGCCCTCTTCAGGATCGAGAAACAGCTACACGAAAAGCCTCAAATTCAAGACAAGAGCGCCCTGGAGACCGCAATACGTGACGTGGGCACCTTGAACCGAGTCTCGGACTGTCGAGAGCCATACAAAAGATGAAGCTGACCTTGTCTGGCTGTATACAACGGAACGAACCGCCCAACCCATCGTATGAGACTGCTTGTTGGGGGCTTAGTGAAACTGCATTTTCTGCAGCGCCAGCGTGACTTGACTGCGGTATGATGGGAGGCAGAAAGGATCAAGTCTTCCGCATGGGTCAAGTCGTCCGCATGGGTCGCATGCAGTTCGCTATGGTCCGCGTAGGGCGGAAGGTAAATTTGCCTGTACTGATGGTCGGCCGACCATGTCAGTGCCAAACAAGTCCAAGGCGCCATCCAAGGCATACCCGGTGTGCCTCGTACTGACGCTGTACCAGTTGACACAGGCTTTCGAAGGCAGAAGTTATCAAGCACCGATACGCCACATCGTGGAGTATGAATGGAATAGGAAATACACTGGAAACAGGTGGTTAGGCCATCCGGACGGATGCCCGCATTATAGATTTTCTCCTTCCCAGTAAAGGAGAGGATCGGGAGCATCAAAAGTCCAGTGCGTCAGCGGCGCTAAGGCTGCTGAAAAGGTTGCAAACAAGGGGCCTAAGCAAAGAAAAGAAAGACAACAGCTGCGAGAGCGGGTCAGGACGGGCTCGCAAAACTTTGAGAATTTGGGATGCGGGTGCCCATTATCTAATAAGTAATCACTCCAGAGCCCAAAGAGACGACTGAGAGTACTTCTGGAGAAACGATGCGCTTCCTTATCAGAGGCAGACTCTGCCTATATTTGGAGCTTGACGCGATGTCATTTTCCATCTACTTCCACATCAAGCAGTAGTGCATGCACTAACTTGCAAAGAGCTGAGACACCTCATGCTCCCCATGGCGTGTCTTAACATGCATACTTGCGGAGACATTGCAAAAGTGTGCGAAGAATCGCTGGCAAAATATCGCCTCCAGCGGAGAAAGTCTTAAATTGACGAGCTGGAAGGCCATAAATGTATTGACGCTTGGGAGAGGAGTGGTTATCCCACCCCCTTGGTGCCACTTACACTTGGTGTTGAGTATTCAAAAGATTATTACATCTGAATACCTCCGTGTCGTATGCAGTCACTTATGCCATCATCATACCTGGGCCACACGTATTCGCATGTCTCATTGATCACCAACAACATGCACCTGCACCGACAGTATGAAAAACCTAATGATAGGGACAAAGAACCCATCTTCAGCTAGCTCTTGGCCAATGCAACCTAACAACCCCCCACCTCCCCAGCTGCTACTTCTCCGCACGCAACACTGTAGCACTGCATATTCTTGAGCAGCTGATGCATCAGATTCTGAGGTATCTTGGCGCTTCAGCCTTTGGGCTTTTGTTCAGGCGTTCCATCTAGTCGTACTAGGAAAGCCTGGTCATTCGAGTCTGTATTGTGTGAGGGGCACTTGTTGTACTGCTAGAGATAGCTGCGCGACGACAGAGCTCCTACATCACGACCCTTCAGCTTCGTTCAAAACGGCCGTAGACGAATGTGAGGGTTCACAAATCCCCACCCCATATCCCGCTAACGTATGGGCGCATAGCAGACGAATAGGCAATGGTCGATAAGGCAACGCCATCCATGTCCAGCGGCCTGACTGTCACTGGTGGCTTCTTTTTGAGGGTCTGTATTGGACTTTACACTGGTATGGTAGGGCCAAGGCTCGATGGGTCGATGGCTGATGTTGTAGCTGCAAAGTCCGCAGGTGGTGTGTACCTGGTGGAGGGTGGATGGATGGTTATGAGGGGCATGTCTCCCCGCCCGTCCGAAAAGAAACTAGAAGGCCATTCATTAGTATGTGTCAAGCGCATCGTCAACGCGCCGGAACAGGAAATCCCACCACAAATCTCATGTAAAGTCATGCTGAGGCCGTCGAGAGCACACATTATCTTTATCCAGACATACTCCGGTAGTGCCGTAGACAGAGGGGTCAACAATGCCAGCCCAGTCTCCAACGTGAGTGACTAAGGCGGATGTCGATTCGGCTGCAGCATACGTTGGGGGGATTGTGACTTGGGACGGCGGCCATGGCGCGTGATGATCGGTTGCGGCACCAGCTAGTTGGTTTTCCACTGCTCGTATCAGCTGTCGAATATCATCGTGTCGTAAATTGCGATTTTCGATGGCTTTGTAAGTAGTAGCCGTCATCAATAGCCCAGTTGGATGTGATATCTGCATGTATTCGAGGTAGGCGTCGAGGTGGGTTGTGTCTACCGCTTTTGGTCGGCTGCCTTGATGGTGTGGGGGGACGGTGGTGATTGTTGGCGACGATTGTGTCGATTCCCTGTACGCAAGACGTGACCAAGTCAGCCTTTTCACTCCATGAATGATTTGAGCAAGATTCAGGCTGCATAGCTCACCTTGTTGACCCCTGTTGAGCGTCCGCTGACCAAGTTTCAGAAGGAACCACTTGGTCCTTTGCCTGTACACGCTTCTTGTTCTTCTGACGAACCATCGTGGCTGACTGATTTGGATTGCGCTCTTGCGCTGCGCAATTAGTGCCGGAAAGAAGGCAGTTATTATATATGACTAAAAGAATACTGGCCCTCTTGATCACCCTCCTGGAAGAGAAAGTAGGAAGACTGGTGTGAAAGGCGTGTGGCAGTCCTGTGGCTATAGTCCTTCGTGCCCACCAATCTTTGGTCGTCAAGGCTCAGAGTGCACATGAGGCAATTGTTGACTCCACTAATACAGCGTTCTGAGCCACTCAGTCATTAAAGAAACCGTCTTGCAAGCACCTATCGCGGCCTCAGTGTTGACACGTAATAGAACGTCGGCGCTTCCGACACCCATCATACTCAAGCAAAGGTACTGATACAAGCATATTGAGGCAACCACGCTAGGAAGCCATGACAGCATGGGTTCGCCTCCAAAGTCGCCTAACTTGTTTTACGAGGCAATCAAGAATGCTTGGTTCTAACATTCCCACGTGGATAGATGGATGTGTACCGAAGACTGCGCTACTGGTAGCCTCTCTATCCTCTTGCTGTGCTGTTGAACATGGCGTCAAGCATGGCGTCAGGGACATGTAGCTAATCTGCGGGGATCAAACTTCCCATCCTGACGGGCAACATAACTGACGCGAGGGCTGGTGTTTTGAATATTCATGACTTTTGGACCCTAAGAAACACTCTCTCAACAAGAGTTTTGCACGGCCGACAAATAACAGGCGAGAACTAAACTGGTATCCACAGGCAGGGTGATGAAGGAAGGGCGACATATCTGGTTTTTCTTACCTCGACTGGCTCAAGAAGTCTCTTCCATAATCAACTGTGAAGCAAGTTGAAAGATATAATTCACCTTGCCATATATTCCAATGTTGTTACGAAATTCAACATCAGCGAGAAAAAGTAAGGGGACGCTTCAGAACATAAGGCATTTGGTGGTATGGGGCGGAGCGGGGTTGATATTCCATCTGGCTCTTCTCCATGACAAGAAAATCAGCATGTACGAACACGCCATAGATAGCTTCTAGTATTTCGTCTCAGCAGCCGATGGCAAGGCAACCAGTTCAACATCAAGTGAAGAGACAGGCTACCAACGTATTAAGGTATCTAGCTACCTTAGTAGGAGTAGGTAGGTTGCTTGCACGTGACGTTGAGTGGCGCACCTCAAACGTAATTGTATGGACACCCAACTTGCGTGCTAGATCTGCAGAGACAGTGCGGAACTGATCGACTCCAATGATGTAGATTTATGTCTATGTTACGGTATAATTTGTGCCTAAGACGATGAAGGTAACAACGCGATGAGTTGAGCGGAGATTGAGTGGCGGCCACAATTTGGGACCCCATCTTCAGCGGCGTCGTCTTACGATTTCATCTCAATAGGGCTCGATCTGAATTCTTGAGTCTCAAAGTAAAAGACGCGAGTCGAATTCAGCCGTGACTAGTGACTAGAATACGTCGGTTCGGCCCGTTGCCGGTTAGCGCATCTAGTACGAGTAGCTTGGCCAACCTGCTGGCAGCGTTGTCACGCGTGCCCTGGACTGGAGCACATATATCATCAAACAAGACTCAAAGACTAAATACTGATTGGTACTGTTCTGCCCCTATGGTGCAGCCGGCCACTTGGGTTTCTGTTCGTTGAAAAAAGGGGGTGGCTGATAGGCTGTGCTATGTGGCTTGAGCGCTACCGCCAGGCCCTTCCTCCTCCTGTATGAGTTTTCAAAATAGAGATAGACGAGACTTGGTGTGTTTTTGTAGTGAGATACTGCATTTCTCCAATGAATCATATCACATAATCAATACGAACCTCGTCCGAGAAGGGCGAAAGGCCGCCAGAGGTACGAAACAAAGCATAGGGCTATGCCTCAAATCTCCACCCGAAAGATCAGCCTCGCCAGAGTGATGAAGTCGACAGGCGAGGCTTTCGGCTGATATCATTGGGGCAAAGACGGTGTCCGCACTGACAGGTAATCAAAACATTTCTCACGTGTGGAAGGGAGCATGTGAACCAAGGGCCGGCAATTACAGCCCAACGCTCAAGTCTTACGTGGGCCTGGTGAGACATTAGACCGATGTCGAACAGATGTTGTTCGAGATGATAACGTGTTGTTCCTTGATTCGATGTCCCAGGACTTGAGTAAACTTATGCGCTGGACCGTGCTTCCCAGTCAGGCGCCATCAGCGACCGACCGCAAGTGCTACATCAAAACGGCGGTGAGATGTACGACATCGACCAGAGACAGCCCGCATCAAACACATCCTACGTTGATGAAGCGAATTTTATTACGATGCCGTTGGCTGTGATGTAGCACACCATCCGGACACACCAAGAGTAGCAAGAGCGCAGGATACGTAGAAGGATCTTAGGGGGTCAACAATGAAGCTATCGCCAATCAACGCGTTCAACAAGCTGAGTGTTTTTGCAAATACGGTGGGCTGAGTATGGACCTTGGTTGGCTGGTGCTCCTGGTCCCTCGCCCTGCCCACATTGGTTGGGCCTTGCTGCCCAAGCGAAACAGAGCCTAAAACCCATATTGAGTCACCATGGCGCGAAAAAGAGGTATGTCGCATGGATCAGGGGTCCGTTAGAAAGGATACCGGATGAATATGCGGCATATTATGGATAATCATTGGGAGAGAGTCTGCTCTGCAGCATCTTGGACTAGACGTAAGGAGGTATCCGTTACACCGCTTCGTATCACAGGTAGACACTTCGCAATATCGGATGCGGGGCGCCCTTGACCTATCCGACGACCTATCTTGCGAATTGGGGACGACTGATGATTCATAAGATTCCTGCGGGGCAGTGTTTCTCATACCACGAGTCTTCCGCAAAGTCTGTGGTTCACTATGAACTTGGAAACCAACACTTGTTGAATTCAGAATCTTGTGGGTTAGCGAGCGCCCTCCGCTGTTACAGTCTCTACCATGTTCACCCATCGGGATCTCCTCTTTATGCCTAAGACTAACTATTCTCTAGTTACAATGCGTTTCTGAGGGTTCATGGGTTAGAATACAACTCTCTACAAGTGAAGAGGGGCGGCCTGACCTTGAATAAATTTCTATTGCGTTCACTTCTCTTCCACCAAGTAATTGTTTCCCTCGTCACCCCAAAACTTTGTTCAGTCTTAGAATGGCCTGAGTGGCTGCCAGAACCCCCCTTGGTAGGTGAACCGGTCCTACTATATCGAGTTCTTGCCAAGGAACTTCTGTCGACAGATGACCACCAGCGTGGCTCACAAAGTGGTCGAAGATTGAATGGTCTGAAGGTGTCAAGTTTGCACAGAATTGGGGCTTCCTGTTTATGACCGCAAAACACCATCTTGTTGGAAGACCTGCCATTTCTAGAGTTTTGGATAGAAAGGCAGTCTGAGCGACATGGTCTACTGCTGTGCTCGAACCACGCGTTGCCAACGTGGTCGACACGGACCCTGCTGCGGCTGCGATCGAGGTGCTGTCCTGGTTTGGGGAAGTGTTTGACAACGAGGAGGTCGATTCAGGCGGTATTAGGAGTTCCCTCACACTTGTCGATATGTTGTCCATTTTCATTTGGAGGCTGGTGTTTCATTACGCTCCATGCGCTGCTGTAGAGGAGAACGACAGAATACGTCGGAAACGGATCGAACACTGCATAATAGTGCTGTCACTCACTTCTCCTGGTCGTTATGTTTGACCTCATTCCTCGAAGGCTTGATGATTATATCTATCAAACCGTGTTGGGCCTCTTGGAAAAATCCCGTCGTCATGTAGAAAGTGGTTGGGTAGAAGGTCTTCAGCTCCCCCTGAGCCCAAACACCTACAGCGCACAAGCCGACCACCCGTCATCCCCCGAGTGGGTGTGAAGCGCCCACGGAATACATTGGGATCACAAAGCGAGCCTGCCGAATGAGTGAATATGCCTGCAATAAGTTTGAGGCAATCAATCGCAGAGGGAACTCTCTGAAACCAATATACATTCAATACAACAACTGGCTGGCGGGTGCAGCACACTGAATGGCGAAGAGACCATAACTCCATGCCAACCGGGCCGGCGGCCGGTATGCTGGAAGAACCCTGTGCTACCCACCTCACCTACCGACAGGTAACAGTTAGGCAGCATTTCCTTTCTGGTGATTGTCACTCAATAGCGCGAGACGTTGCAAAAGCGAAAGCATCTCTATTAGCTCGATCTATAATGCTCGCGGTCGCTCGCCATGATGCGATGTATCCTCGGCAAAATCACGAGCGTTGAAAAGCGAATGATGGCTGCCATTTGGCATTGTGGGCAAAGTCAGAGGCGGGTCGATACCAGGCCATAACACACTGCCCGAACGGTCGTTACCAGAGCTTAACGCGATGGTGGTGGCACTGGGCAGCGTTTGGGACCTTGTGATTGTGCTTAGGGGCCTTTGCACACGCCATCGAGGCCTAAAGACCGAGAATCTAGTGCTGACCATGCCGTGCTAGCCCCCCTCCCACCCCTCTCGCTTCCAGTGGACCTGTGGTGACAAGTGCGAAAAAAAAAATGAGATGGTATGCCTGGGGATTGCCGTCACGAAAATGAAGCTTTCTCACGATCTTGCGATGCTGGCCACGCGTATCGATGAGGCTGTAGGCAAACCGCTCTTCCTGTCTACAAACACATCCAACGGCATGAGACAACTTCTCCCAGCCTCCACATGAAAGTTCACTGTAATATTCGACCAAGAATCACGGCCAACGTGTTATTTGCCATTCGAAATCAAGCTTCATACCGCCATCCAACGAGTTGTTTGCCTCACTTTCAAAGTGTACTATCCGTGCGTAACAACGCATGTGAACAGTGACGCCGGTTTCGGCCCCTGTATTAGTATGAACTCATATATCATCGAGTCGTTGTCTTATCTCAAAAGTGCATATCTACGTCGAGGCATTCATTCAGCGCGAGTGGTATGATGGCCGTAGGTTGGGAACGTCGGCCAGCAACCTCAACATGTCGCCTTGCCTCCATTCAAACAGACAAGTCGGTGATGTGTGACATTGTATCACGCATGCTCGAATGTGTGTGCAAGCCTCGGTACTATCCACGCCTGGTAGTGACAGCCTCGGTGGCCATGACCGCACAGCGTTGCTTTCCTCTCCCATAAAAGAGGGTCAGTCATCGCTCTCAGATAAGTGATACCGTCCGCTGCCCGGCAATAGCATGAATATAGGTTCAGCCACGCACCTTGCTTCCTCGCGGAGGTGGAAGCTAAGAGCCTGGGCATGCAGGGGGGGTGCCTTGGGCTTGTTCGGGTTTCTACCTATGGCACCATCGCGGGCGAGACGACGGCAACGAACATTTACCGAGGGCCAGGTGGTTCCAGTAGTCAGTCAGTGGAAGCTTGTCGTATCAAGCGGTGATGTGATTGCATTTAGCTTAGCCCTTCCAGGCCTAAAAGATGAGAGGTAACTGACCAATGCTTGAGCGAGTAACCAAGATAGCTGACCTGCATCCCATATCGATCACTGGAAGGCCCTGCGAACGGGTCCACGTATAACTAGTGCAATCGCGAATGGCTGTTTTGTTCCAGCCACCAAACTTCCTTTACAGGCCAACCCCGGCCACTACAGTCGACAGAGCTCCAGATATAAAGATAGGGCGGCCAGTCGTTGCATGGCCTGGCTATGAAGCCCGTCAATGCCAGCGCCAGGACATCCAATCGTCAATATTGGCCACTTCATGCATGAATGCATCATCCCGAAGAGCCAACCACTAGCTACACGGGCCTATGATCAGGGACTTATACCTGGACTGGACCAGAAGGCACGATGGACAGCCTCATTTCGTCACTTGCGCACAGCCGCCGCTATATAGACGAGCTTCGCTTCTGAGAGAGCTGTTCAACGATGATCTTTTCCCTCGTTCATGTTACCCCAGCCCAAGCTTTGGAGCTAGTCTTTCCATGCCCGCAGGGTTGTCCCAACTACGGAAACAACCATAGTGCAAGTGAGCTGAAGCTATCCTTCGTCTACAACGAGTGCGAGGCGCTCTGTCAAAGGTTTGAAATGCTGACCATGACGCGATAGGCAACATCGCACGTGTTCGGAATTCACCTCATCATGGCGTCAGACTTGTTCGGTTCTGAGGTCCTCGAAGTACCAGCGGTCAAGTTGGACAGCCAAGCCCGATTTGGAGAACAAACGCGCGGTCACCGTCAAGTTCCGAGGAACGTACGCCCTGTAGACTCGCTAACGGCACATGATCCTGCGCGTCTCGTCAGGTCTTCATACAGTATCCGAGTCAATGATGCGAAGGATTTTGCTTCGCATTGGGAGAACGAGATCGTCCCAATGCTTGCTTCGAGCCTTCCAACACTTCTGGTCGGGCCATTCTCGGTTGATGTACATACCTATCCTCAACTGGCTTCGATTAACCCCCCACGACTCCTCACCGTCACCTCATCTACTCGCGCCTCATCTCCCGCGAAGGAGATCATCACCAGGATGGTTGTAGATTCTCTACCTCTGCAATTCCGTTCAGTCAAGCTGGAGTTCTGCCAAGGAACGATCGAATTATGCGCTAACCACGTGGGCACGGGTCCGGATGATCGAGACAAGCCATGTCAGCCACGGCGAGCTCAGTACATGTCTTGTCCTGGGCCAGGCGCTTCAATTGGCCAGACAGGCGACCTCAACAGCGCATCGCTAGGGGGGTTCGTGAACCTTGGGGGACGGAAATCGGCAACGACCACTCGTCACCAGCATGATGAATCTCTGGGCTCATCGTCGCGCCCTTTGTGCGTCCAGCATCCGTCGCCTCTGGACCAGCTTCTCTACCAAGAGCCTTTCAGTAAACGCAACACTCTGACAACCATCGGGCACGTATCGCACTGGAGCGATTCCGGATCTCTGAGGCCGTCTCTTGTATTCTCTGGGATCTCTCAGCACAAAGAATTGATATCCATCGAGATGGACTGGGCTGTGATCGACATTCAGGGGCCGGGACGAAATGTAATTCCAACTCCGAGTTTCGCTCAAGCGAGCGAGGGACACGTTGTCACAGAGTTTGCCGAGGTTTCTGGCACAACAGAGGTCTACGGAGTCGGCCGCACTAGTGGCTACTCCTTAGCATACACTTCCGACGTTCCTGGACTCCAGTACTTCAACGGCGGGTACCACCGCGAGTGGACAGTCAGACAACACACCCTCAGCACCGAAGCTGCACACCAGCTTCCGGAGGGTGGCCTTGAAACTGTGTCCTCAGACCTCGCAGATCAGATAAAGTCAACAGAGGAATGGATCACCGGAGGTGTTGGTGTCCCAGGAGACTCGGGGGCATGGCTCATGACCCGTGATGGCGATCGCGTTATCGGCCATGTTTGGGCCCGGAGCACAAGTTATGGCCCCATCAACAACCAAAGGTTGACGTACTTTACCCCTTTTGTGGACCTCAAGGCCGACATTGAGGACAAGTCCCAAAAGCACTTATCTCTCCCCATCGTCCTCTCACAAGCGCCAGCACGTCCTACTGAGCCTCTGGCCCAAATGCCATCATCCTGGCTATTCACCCAAGATTCAAACGATCATTGGAGCTCCCTGTCTTCGCCCACATTGAGATCACAACGGCTGCAGAGTCAACACTTGATCAAGGAAATCACCCCCACAGCGATAATGTCAGCAACTTCAGTCGTGAGTCCGTCACGAAGGGCATCCATACAACAACTCGTCCAACAGAACAGTTTCACGCAGCAATGCCAACCTCTTGGCTCTATGTTCTCCCATGAATGTACGACCTCTGACTCTAGAAGATCCGAGGTACCATCATGGTCAGTCGGGTCTTCGACAACTGGGGAAACGGACACGACACTCTGGAGAACACAGGATTCAGAGTTCCCTGACGTCGTCGTCCCTGTATTTGACGAAAGAACTCTTCTTCAAGAGCAAATGACAAGCCAGCTTCGCAGGGCCAAGGCAGTCCCCACAGGTGATGAATTGCGTTTGGTGAGGGCGATTATGGCCTTGAGCCAGACAGCATGTATGGCTCAATGACTTGTTGCCAGTGTATGCATTGACTGTCTCTAATCTCTGAGAGTGTGAAACGGACAACAGGATACATTGATTGAACCTCGAATTTGAGGGCTGCAAGCTGACCTCTAGCATATTTTGTCTTCCTAACATATCTACCGACTCTGCTTCTGTCACGGGCTTGTGCTACTTTAGCTTCTTGTCATCTCAACGCGACTTCGTGTAATTCGTTTATGTTCTTGAGCGGCCAATGATCACTGCGTCACTTCTCAGTTGTGTATTTGATGCGTGCGCTTGCTCAGCACACTTTCTGCGGATTCTTCTTATTGGGGGGAAATAGATTTCAGGAGGTCGCTTTGGGAGCAAGAATTATGTACCGTCTGGATTGCATACTTTAAGATTATGTCTCTACGAATGCAAATCGATTTGATCTATGCATTGATTCAATACGTATCGTACCCTTTTCCCTCAATCGCATAGCTTTGCAACAGCAAGCTCACGGCTGAGTGAGATGTGTCGCCCAGCTCTTCAAGAGTCAGAAAGTGGCATCTATTCTCTCATCAATTAAGATTCTCTCCCATATCCTGCTCCAGCAGGTTGCGTTAGGTCGTCTCACGGGCATCTGTCAGTGCTTGATACGGAGCAGGTGAGGAGGTCGTCCACACGTAGTCCGCGGCAATAGAATATAGGTATGGGGTCGGAATGCATCCGAAGTCTGGCCCTCCGTAGCTCGGAGGGCACTCCTCAGTGTTTATGTATCCGTTCTCGTGGCCCTTATGTCTTGGCTAGCCTGCTGCACCGTGGCTCACCTGGCAGTGTCAGACTTGACACGGAGGCTGGCTTTCAGAAGAGCGTCCATGAATCCCCCTTTTAACTCTTCTTTCCAGCCAGTTTCAGATCGTGTCAGTGTCAGATCGTGTGTACGGCATCATGAAATGAAAATGCTCGAATCTAGCCGGAGCCACTGCGTTGAAGACAGGAACAGCTCAGATGGATTGCAGCCTTGCCAGCCAAGCAGCATATGTATTTTCACAATGGCAGTTAAATGAGACCAAGACTTGGGCGACGTTATCGATACTTAAAACAAACTTGCATTCTATATCCATGAAATTCTCTCCCTCCGGTTCTTCAAACCTTCCCCAAACGGCGTCAGGTGTGAGGAGACCCCTGTGGAGCCATGGAACAGCGGGCTAGGACTGCGAGAATGCGTGTATGAGAGCTGCAGTGGGCCAGAATTTAGATGTAGTACAAACCCTTACCTGTGATCTATTGCCTGCCGACCGCGTGTGAAAAAAGACCTCTTCACTCTGCTTCATACACCGACTTTAGGACAGGCGCGTCAAGGAAGGCATTGCCGGGAGCACTGCGTATACAAGGAGTATTGCGGACGGTCCACATAAATGTAGACAGGCAGGTCTCAAATACGTTGCTTTTTCGGAAACAAGCAATTCACAGCCAGCTTGGGCCGAGCAAGAGGTCACCTTTGTTCCGTTGGCTGTCGCGGTCTTCAGCCCCCCCCCCCCCCCATCCCCCACCCCACCCCACTCCAACGGGTCAGGCTGCGCCAGCCTTGCGAAAGTGAGCCGGTGTGCGCAAATGCGCAACTACAAATATTCTTGCTTCTCCAAACAAGCCGCCTTATTCATGTAGCTTGCATTAGTTACCAGCGTAAGACGTGCTGATCCATGCTTGGGTGTGTCGAACTTTGCAGCTATTTTTGATGGGAGTGCGGGTGTGACCGATGATAGGACTTTGACTTTCCAGCCTGATGCATTATTGAGTCGGTGTAATGTTTCGGTGACCGAGATTCGGAAAAGAAATCATGCTGGGTGTGGTAATGCCATTGGAGCGGCAGTCATTCGATGGTATCATATGTAGGAAAGTGCAAACAGGAACTTTTCCAAGGACGCCCGCTGTGGCGCCCGATTCGACATAGTTCACATATCTGTTTTCTCTACACCTCGACTGTGGCCTCTCGTTGGCCCCCTGAACCAATCGATGCAGTGGACCTCGCTCTCGGCGTGAAGAGGGGAAGACGAAAGACGGCATGTCTCCGAAGGCTGTAAAGCTGTAAGCCTGTGACAAGAAGAAAGCATTGGAATTGAAAGTTCGGTGTGGTGCTGGCGCTAATCAGATTCTCAGGCGACCGCCCCCAACTTTGTGTCATATTTCGTGCAACCATCAAGGAAATGAACTTCCATCGCCTATTTTCGGTGAGTCTGGCCTACTTTGCCTAGGTATGCCCATGGGTCAATGCTTTGCCGGCAAGCACGCTGTTGAGTTACCATGCGTTGCTTGACATAGTCATTTGCACATTGTCTGGCTGTTCGCTGTTGGCTATTTGGAAATACGCATTTCGTAGTTGGTGTTGAATGGGTTCCGCTGCTTACATGACACTTCTCCGTAGCTTTGGTTGTGCCTCCAAGCTCTGTTTACTAGGTCCAGTGGTTTAAGTGGTTTTTGACTTGATTGATCTGTGGCTCCAGCTATTCGCAGTCTCCCTTGAGCGAGTAACGTGTAAACCCATATAAATAACCGCCAAAAACAACGCTGCAATAGGTCCAATGCATGGATAGTTGGTCTTCGCGAATGGGCCTGTGAATCCCACTCGCGCTCTGATTCTACTATCAGAGACCAACGTCGCTTATTCTAGACGAGGATGAATCAGTTCCCCCTAAAGAAGTCAACTCAACGACGAGTGGCTGTTGTTCCTGAAAGAACAATCCCTAAAAGAAGAGGCTCCTCTACCCTAAAATGAGATGTCTCCTGATAAACTGAAAATAGACCGTAGTGACCAATGATGAGCCACACATATTAAATAATGAAAGATAGAATGAAATACTTTTACGAGCAGCGACACCGGGGGCGGCCGTTGCCATCGGCGTTTATGACCCCAATGATACAGTACATCAGGGTGAGCAAGATCCAGGTGTGTCCCAACAAGACCGAGCATGTGACGCTCAAAGACTCGCTGGTTGGATCATGGATCTCATGTGCCCGATATGGCGAGAGATTGGTCCAGGCTCGAGGTCATGTACCCATGAATTGAGTCCGACGACGTCTTGTGAGGAAACCGCAGGTATGCAAAACTGGTCGGCAAACGACCAGCAGTCTCGACTGGCGGGGTTTGTGCTGATGAAGTATGATTCGAAAAAGGTCTTCAAGACATGATAGGTGAGTCCGCACCAAAGGCGACAGGTACACGTCCTCATTAACGTATATAATTTGTCCTTCGCGTGTGATTCTCGAGGCATAAGCTACGTCCGAGTCGTTGATACGACTATTGGTATCGAATGCTTGCCAGGATCGAGATTCCAACATGTCCAGGAGGGCTGGGCAAGGAATTGAGAGCATCAACCTCAAGTCCTAGTTTTGGAGATGGGAGTAATCCCAAGATCATCCTCAAGGTCCAGTAACCTTGGCTCGCACTACATCTCCCAGGCCATTGGGAGCGTTCCAGGCCATCGGGGGCGTTCCAGGCCATCGGGGGCGTTCCAGGCCATCGGGAGCGTGGTGTGAGGCTGATGACAGACAGAGGAACTCTGTGCCGGTAGAACCGAGGATCCCGCATCAGAAGTGCCAGGGCGATGGCGTGAAAGATCTTACCTTGAACGTCCTCGTCGCGCCTCGCACGTCGAGCTGGTTCGACGCCAGGTGCACAGGTCCAAGGATGCACCAATATCAAATCACGGCTGTGACACAGTCTGTTCGTCAACGTCCATCAGATCCATGGCTTTCCCCGTCACGTCTTGCTCGTCGGTGGCTGTCTGCTCCTCCGTCATGGCCTCGTCGTTCTCCGCCGGGGCGACCTGTTCAGCAGCGGCAGGAAGCTCATCGATGTTCTCGTCATACTCGGGCGATACCGCAAATTGATGCGTCTCGAAATCATAGTGCAGCCATCGCTCGCGCCGCGCAATCTGGCAGCCAATCCACAATATCCGGATGCGTCTCTCCTCCGTCATGGACGCAACCTCAAAGTACTTTTCGTCATCGTCGATTTTATCGTTGGAGAACCATTTCGTTGGGAAGTATGTATTGGTCCAAATCATACCACGCATGGCGAAGTCTTCAGGTAGCGGACGAGGCGGCTCGCCCTTGATCGGCCCTGGGAATTCATGGTCCTCAAAACGTATGGTGTTGCCAGACGCTGCAATAATAGTATTGAGCTGAACTGACAGGAGCTTCCACGGAATGCTGGCCTCCAGCCTGCCAATGGTGTTCCGCGAACGTATGAGATGATAGATCGGAACGAGGGTTGTGTGAAGGTAGGCAAGGATGCTAGGGTCACCGAACCGGCGCCACACCACTCGATGGGTTCGGTAGTTCAGCTGGAGAGCCTTCTCAAAGCGATCGTCATCCTCAGGCGCCTCCATCGGGTAGTCCGCCGACGGATCGCCCTCCATGGCACGCAGAAGCGTGCTGGAGGGGTCGCCGTAGTTGAGCAGAGCGCATGTGTTCGAGATGCCGATGTAGTAACCTGGCTCCAGCCAGCGGCGGGAATACCTCGCGATCTGGATATCGAGACCGCCGATGAAGCTGTCGAAGGCGGGCTGGAACCTCTCCTGCTCTGTGCCTTTGAAAAGGACAGCGTGGAGGCAGACGAAATGCATATCAAGCTCATGCAGGCGGCCAGGCTTGCCGGACTGGCCAGACTGTTCGGACAGAACAGGGTCGAAGAGCGTCAAGATGGACTCGCGAGCGCTCACAAAGGGGGTCGGAACGACCAAGGACTTGGAGTAGTAAAACAGCTGGCGCAGAACGTTGGGCCGAGAAAGAATGGCAAGATGATGGTACAGCCGGCCGGTCGTCGGCGACTTGTCGGATGCCTTGCTGTACCAGTGACGGCTGACGGCAGTCCAGACCTCCCTGTCGGCCATGCTGTCGTCCTCGATGGCCATGCGGTACCGTCCCAGGTCGCCGAGACACTCGATCCACGTGTCCTCAAACTTGGGGACAGTCTCGTACAGGAGAGCCATCATGCTGTACGCCAGATAGATGAACGACAGCATGTGTTCGAGCGAGTCTGGTAGACGGTGCCGCAGCAGCTCGAGAAAGGAGTGGATGCCGTGCCGCCACATCCTGGCGGGCATGGCGTAGCGTTCGGCCAAGGCCCGCAGGGCGTTGTTCGCCGAAGGGTGCTGGCTGGCCAGAAAGAAGTCGTGGTGTTCGTGGAGCAAGGTTCGATGCAGGGCGATGAGGGCCTGCCATTGTTCGTCATTGAGGGGGACGGTGCCTTCTTTTGTGTTCTGCAAGTTGTCGACTTCGATACACTTGCTCTCCACCATGACGAGGCCGGCGTAAATGCCCTTGACTTCGGCGACAAGTTGCTCCTGGCTGATGGGCCGTGTCTCGGGCTGTTTGATGATGGTGAGCGCGTCGTCTTTCTTCTTGCTGGCGGGGGTGCCGCGAGCATCGTCCTGTGGGTGCTGGGGAGGTGGATTGCCAGAGGAGGAAGCCGGGCGAGCCGTCTTGTTGGTCGATGCATTGGACTGATGTGCCTTGCCCTTGGGACCCTGGGCGTGGGTAGCCGTGCCTCCTCCTGTCCCTCGCCCTCCTCTGGCCCCCCCTGCACCTGCCCTGGGGCTCGGGTTGGGCTGACTGGTGTCGGGGTTCCACAGAGTCCTGGTCGACTTGGGTCTCGATACGTCATCAGGGGCGGCCGGGGCCGAGGCCGAGGCCGTGGCCGAGTGAGAGGGACGGGCCTTGGAGCGCCTAGGCGGACTGTGCTCACCCGAGCTGTACCTTTTGAGGCTCTGCGTGGGAGAGACTGGGGTCCGGTCCAGGCTGGCCTGTGGTGCTGGCGTCGGCGCTTGCCCAGGCCGGACGGAGGCTGATGGGGAGCCTGGGGTCACCTTGGACCCCGGGACGGCGGCGGCGGCCCTGCGGCCCGAGGGACGACCGCCGTCTTCGGGCCGGCTTGTCGTTGATGATCGGGCACCTACGCGCGAAGTCGATGGATTCTGTGCTTTCGACGTCGCGGCGTTGCTGTTCGCTCGTTTTAGTCGGAGTCAGGCGGTTCTCTCAAACGAGGGGGGCAATCGAGGGGAGGGGGGGGGGAGGGGGCAGCAAGACATGAACGTACCCGCGGCGGCCGGTACTTGGCCCCTCAGTGGAAGTGGAGACTGCGTTGTTCTTCTCGAGCGTTTGTTGATGATGCTTTCTCGCCATCTTGGCGCGGTCAACGTCGGCCACATCACCACCCTCTGGCACCATGAGGTCGGTATGCCTCTGGAAAAAGTGAGCTCGATATGCATCCCATGTTTTATCGACCTCCTCGTTACAGAGATGGCAAGCGACCCGAGATGAGGGGGGCTGTCGCGCCGTTCTGCGTTGGTAATTTCTGAACCTCGCTTCAATCTCCATTGAGACGGGACCACAGGATGAAGCTGCGAAGTAGAGAAACTCGACTATCGGTGCAGGGCAGTAGCAGCATATGTACGTTTCGGTCTCAAGCCTGTGAAGTCGGTCTCGTCAAAGCATGCGTACGCCGCGGTGCGTCTTGGAGCGCGCCGAGGTGCGTCTTGGAACCTGGAACAGAATCAATGGACGAGATGCAGGCAGCGGTCGTTGGTCGTTGCAAGGCGAGGCGCGTGGGCGCAGGCACCTCTGGTGCTCGAAACACGTGACAGCTGGCAAATCTGCAGGCTCGGGGTCCAGTTGGGCTCTGGTCATGCTGCCTCGGCGTAGTGGCGAATAATGGGAGGCACAACGCTGTAGGTTCAATCCACATTGTCCATCAAGACCGTCCCGAGTATATATATATATTTACATGCCAGCGGCCTGCCTGTGTGGGCGTGTCGGGCTCGGCAGCATCAAGTATGGACATCTATCCGCGCACCACCTTCGATCGAGTGGGTGGAGTGGTGGTTGCCTTGTTGCGGCTCTGGTGGTTCGCAAATGGGGCGCAAGTCAACCATACCAGTAGCTCCATGTCTCTGGGCCTCCCCTCCCTGATCGTTCCCGGCCTTCTCTGCTTGTCTTGTTAAAAGCGCGTCCCAACCCGCACTTTGTGCCATCGGTCACCCACCCGGACGACCTTCTCCCATTCCTGCAGCAGCGTCAAGGGTAGGTCCCAATCCTAGTCATTCGAAAGGCCAGAATCTACCCTCCGACAGACACACCACCAGACAAGACAGCCTGCTCGAACGAGAGTATCATCGACCGACTGCCGACCATGTGTACATGCTACCCCATGCCGCGCGCGTTTCTGTATACCGCCCAGCAAAACGCGCGCCGCCGCCGTCGAGAAGAGAGTCGAAAAGAAAGTCGAGAAGAAAGTGCCGCTGGGGAGTGAATCATTCGCCTCGGGTCTGTGGTGCTCGCTGTGTGTGCCATCGCAGCCTGCCCCCAGCCTTGTGACGACGAGGAGGTGCTTTTCTCTTTTCTTTGCTTCTTTGCTTCTTTGCCTCTTTGCTTCTTTGCCTCTTTGCTTCTTTGCCGCTTTTTCTCTTTGGGGGGACTGCACTTCTGCTCTGCGAACCCGGACACATGCCAGAATGTGACCCGCGCCGTAACCCGATATGTGGCAAGTGTAAAGCACCTGACAAATTCGTGAGACAGTGAGAAGGGCCGAAGCCGATAAAGTGTAGAGGCCACCGAGACCAGCACGCCCGCCCTCTCTCCCCCAAACACATGCGAAATGAACTGTGTTGTGACCCTCTCGGGCCTGGTTTCTTTTTCCGTGGTCAGACGAAGCGGCATCGCCGGATCATCCGCCGCGTCTTGGTACTATCTTCAAATACCTAAGCCTGTGCCCTCCCTCCGTGTCGATTAGAAATGCATCGTTCCATGAGAAGTTCTAGACGCAAGAGGCCTCGTCAAGTCAGCGCCTCGATCGGACAAGCCCACGTGTACTGGTCCAGCCCTTCCAGGCTTGCAGTTGAACCTCATCTTGAGCGCTTTCTCCGCCCTCATCAATCTGGTAGTGGCGGAAGCCCCTCGTGCCGCTTATGAAGCATATCTTGCCTCGGCTGTTGCCTGTAAGAACTGCATTTGCACCTAGTACAGCCTGCTGCCCGTGTAACGCAAAGCAAAACCAGATTGGCCACACGAGCGCCGACCACTCCAAAACACAAAGCTAAAGCTAGGTAGGTAGCTAGGTAAATAGGCAGGTGTCTTGGCTACCGAGCAACTCACATATCTCCCAAACGGTGAGACTTCAACCCCCAGCTAAGTACGTGACTGCACTCCCTCATGGCCACGTTCTAATCATGTAATAGTCATAGCGTCCGTCTGGGACACATTTTCCGCACGCCGCCTGGGGTGGTCATACCACTGTCAGTCGGGTCTCGGGGCCTCATCGCGCCATCATCACCCGGACACGTAAGTCCGGCCATGACGAGTGGCAAGAGACATGCTCGAGGGGCGAGTGTGGAACATGATGAGCAGCTGTTCCTTCGAAGGAGACGTCCGTGTACAAGCCAACGTTCTATGCTCCCCCCCCCCCCTGAAAATCTCACTTTCGGTGGCCCTTTCGCCTCCTTCCTTCGCTTCGCTTCGCTTCACGTCTTCAGAATACTGTTGACGCTGACTGTGTACGCTAGGGAATTCGCCTGCTGACCTTCGTATAAACGTTCCCGGCGCAGCAGGCCAGACCTCAGCGCTGGTGCCTGGCTTGCCTGGCTTGCCTAGCTCAGGCCGTTGAATACAGCGCTGCAATGCGCAACAGCTGTGGGACGGCTCGAGTCGGACCCGCCTGCACCGCGATTGTGTTCACATGCTCGCTTGCACTTCACGAAGGTGCTCATGGCATCGAACGTGATGCTCCCGATACTTCGTTTCGGTATGTCTACGAGGCATCACATCGTTGCCTATCGCCCGGTCGTTACGGATGTCGGTGACTTTACACGCCAGTCGCCTTATTCTCGTTGTCCGTCAGTGATAGGCAAACGCTTACGTGTTGGCGAGGCACTATCGCCTAACGCCTCACTGGGGCTCGACGATGGGTCGATGGAATTCCGCCGAGGATGACGAGGTCTGCACTACCAGATCATCGTGCCCAATTTTTGCGACGAGGCAACAATCCGAGAACACATCAGGGCCGAACAGAGAGTCTATTCGGGGGTTCGGGCGAATAGACGTGGCTTGAATTCCCGTGGTTGATGCCCACCATACTGCCCTACAGCCTCATCGCAAGGCCGTGGCCCGTTTGGCTGCCTGCTCATGTCTTCGTTTCTTGGGCTACCAAGCTTGCTCGGGACCGTTCGTATCGAGAAAAGACAGGATTGGAAAGCCCCTGGGCGCGTGGCTAGCTATCCATTAGACTAACAAGGCTCATTTCCAATCGACTGTGTTTTTGATGAACAAGCTCCAACACGGTATCAATTGCCTTCGCCGAGGAGTTTATGGGTGGCCATGGTTCCGTGCTGGATGTGATGCGACTGTCCAGACCACAGTAGCTTCGCCCTTGATTGGTGTTGGTGTCTCGCTCGACAGCCAACCCTTGAATGAGGCATGTTTGTCTAATGGTCCTGCCCAAAGTTCTCCGACTCATTGGCTGAATTTGATGTCCAGCTCAACCAGGGTACCCAGGGCCCCTTATTGACCGGCCACTCATCTGTATGATTAATCAGCCTCAGAATAACAAATGAAGCAGAGGCCAGTACGAGCTACACGAGCGCTTAGGCTCGAGGCCATAGCGGTCCATCAAAGAAATTCCGTCGTCATCTGATATCCATCGGCTAGTCGCAGCATCCACGTTTCACAACAGTTCCAGCCATCTCAGATGAACTGAGCTCGTTACACTGCGTTGTCTGAGTCTTGCGATTTGAAAGTAACACAGTATCCGTCTTGTCAAGGCATCAGGCGTTGAACCAAGCGCTCGCCGGCGCCCCCTCCTCTCCCGGACACTGCATCTTCCAATCATCGATTCTTCCCAAGCATTGTTCCCAAGTATTGCTTTGATGGGCGCGTTTCAGATCTTGCATGTATTGCCAATTCTTCAGGAAGACGTGAGTTCAGGAAGCCGTGCCTTCAGGCTTCCTGCAGTTTTTCTTCTTCACCAACGCCTCCTGATGCCTACCGGACTCTACCTCCAGGAGCAGGCAGAATACCAGACACTTCAAGACCATCATGTCTCTGGGTGGCTTGCAAGCCTCGTTACCCTGAGACACCGAAGTTACAAAAGAAAACGATGTCCGACGCGAGAAATGCGTAGAAACAAGGCAAAAGTTGATCGAGGCAGCCAATCCCGAGACCCTCAACAGGCTCTCAATTATCGCGCGCATATCTCTTTCCTGCTTGAGATCCCCTTGCATCAATAAATGGCCGATGCCCATTGTGCACACGTCATGGAGGCGTCCCACGTAGGGAGTGCAAAGACCCCGGCCGGTAGGCACGGATGACTGTGCCTCAGCCCTGGCAGCCACTGCTTTTGCGTGAAGTAGACGCATGAAAGCCCTATTCAGGCCTACATGTACACTGAATGCCTGACGGCCCTGCTCTGCTCGGGTCTTGCCCATGTTCAGCGGAAAAGTAACAGAAAGCTGATCGGTGGCGGCGGCAACACGAATCGATGGTGCCTAACACCGTATCCCACGAGCGCCGTTGTGCAAGTCGCTCGGTACAAAATGGGAGCTGGGAATTGAGACGCTGCGTTATTGGAGTACGACCCAGAACTGGATCCATACCTATCAAGAGTTGACGGAAGCATGAAGAACAAGGCGCAAGTGCACGGTTAGGTGTCATCACAAGCCCCCTGCCTTGCTGCATCGGGAGACTGGGTACGGCGGCGTCTGCCGTCGGTCACGTAACGTCAATGGGAAGCCTCAATGCCCTCCCTGCCTAAGTAGTTGTCGTTTGCCGCGCCCAGCGCCAGTCGCCTTGGACTAGTACGACGCAGGGCAGGGAACATTGCAGTGTGAGGTACATGTAGCTAAGGTAGAAGCACACTGGCTGGCTAGATGCTTGACGGTGTGTCAAATGTTGCGAACATGGGAAGCAATGACCGAAAGATTGCGAGACCCACCACATCCAGGGTTCTATATGTATTGAAATGATTGAAATGCGGTGATCACACCGCCATCGATTTTTTGTTTTACATTCATAGGCTGCATAATGCCCCGCTATCTAATCCGTACATGTATGCGAAGACGACGATGGTCGTCGAGGAGGCGGTGTACAGTCTTTACCCCCGCCCCCAAGGTACCATGGCCACGTGTAGAGTAGAGGTCGAAGTCTTCTTTCAGCAGGATCGTTCAGTGGGAGCTAATATGACGCTATTGGGACCTCTACGCCGGCGTCTCTGAACAAAGTTGCATTGTCTCGATGAGTATGATTCGGCCGACCACTGATAAACATTTTCGCTTTCATACGTGATGGGAGGACACATTTGCACCGTCACGTCGGATACCTGCGTGTCTCGATACGGATGGCGCCTCGTCACTGGTGCGAGCAGCACGGAGCCAGATCGTTGCGTTGGCATCAGTCAAATAAACGAGCACTGTTATCTTGGTTGGGCCACATCAAGCTCAGACGTCATGACTGTTTAATTCAATAAATGCGTTACGCTGCCTTGTCTAAGCCCAAGTCTAACTCACCATGACATCTGATTCACCATGAGCATAGTCGGAAGCATAGCGGCCCAACTGCACAAGGTATGCAAGGATATTTTGGTTCACTCACTCGGCATATGAAAAGAAATCCCCGGTAGTTCCAAGAGAATATCTCGAACACTCCTTCTCTGCTGCCCTAGTGCCCGATTATGTCGAACGAGACAAAAGCTTTGGCGTGTAAGGAACGTGGCTGCAAGAGCAATTCCTCTATGAATAAAGATTTTTTGTTCAAGTTAAACATTTTCTTGGTTAAATAATGTCAGTGCGCGGTAAAGAGCAGAGTGAAGAGGTGATCCGCAGGCAATAGAACATAGGTAGGGAGTCGAATAAATCTAAATTTTAGCCGTCCGCAGCTTAGAGAGCCGTCCGCAATTCTTGTATATACGTTTTTCGTAGCTTTTAGCCCCTGGCCGACCCCCTGCTTGGTGGCTCCGCAGGGCCATCTGACAGATATAGATAATAATGAATGTATATCGAAACTCATAGCCCGTAGTCTTTCGAAACGAACTTACGAACTTGGTGCGCTTACCCCCGTTGCTCCTCCCGGACTACAGGCTTAGAAGATTCAACAGGAGTCACTCGTACAAGAATGTAAGCGTCAGCATACTCTTGTTCACTCATCTGTCACCACCCTTTTATCGCAGCTTTCCATGGTCGCTGGTATGGAATATCTTCGTGTCAATCTTGCAGCTCGTTTGGACATCTTGCAGCTCAATACGTGGGAGAGAGCTGTTTCTTTGACCCCTTGTAGCTGCTTTTTTATTTTGATATCATCACGTTATTGAGATGTCGCACTTTTCCAGTATCGACCGTGACGGCGGCAAATGTGGTGTTTTGGCTAGCTAGTCGTCAACCTGTTTCCTGTATTGACAAGAAGTTCCGCACCCGCGTTAGCACACTTGAAACCATCTAGCATCTACATCAAAGCTATCTAAGGTGCATGCAATGAGAGCCTTGGCCAAGACGGGCAAAATACAATACCACACATAGTTCTGTCAGCAGGCCCCTGCGGAGCCATGGAACATGGGGTGGTCGGTCAGGGTCTGGGGATGACGAGAACGTGTATATAAGGGTTGCGAAGGGCCAGATCTCAGATGTATTCTGCCTCCATACCTATGAAGTATTGCCTGTGGACCTATTGCAGAAGACCTCTTCACCCTGCTGAACCCCACGCTCTGACAAACACATTGTACCTCTGGCTGGTAGAAACACTGACTACCCTCACGGATACGAGAACCGATGATAGGGCGAGCGACAAAGCTGTCAAGACTAGTAGAGACAAGAAGAGCCTTCTACAAGATCCAAATGACGACGTGAGGGTTGTTCTTTATGGATGTCTGTCTGATTGGCTCTTAGAGCGTGGGTTTGAGCAGAGTGACGAGGCCTTCAACACTAGGTGCACAGGCAATAGATACTAGGTATGGGGTAGAACGCATCTGAAATCGCCCTCTGCAGTTAGGAGGGCCCTCAGAAACCCCTATCCACGCGATCTCGTAGTCCCTCGCCCCAAACCAGCCCCCCTGTTGCATGGCTCCGCAGCGCTACCTAATGTTGGTTGGCGATGGACTTTGGTGATCCCGAACCCCCACCATCGAATGTCAGCGTGCATTTACCACGTGGGAGTTGTTGCCCACGTGATTGAACTGGCCCAGAATCGGACACCGAGGATAATTGGGGTAAACCCGGTTCGTTGCGTGAACGTAAGACGGCGCGATGTGTCCCCTGGTCGTCGTGATCAGCCGTGCTGCAAAGCGGCAGTGCAAATCAGCCCCGAACCAAAGTGGTCAAGGTTGGGCGCCTTTCCAGAGGCAGTGATGGCACATGGGCAAATTCAACGCGCAAAGGAAGCCTACAACGCCAGGGCTGTCCGAAGCGTTGAGTCAACTCGTTTGAGATCAGTGGCAAGAGAATATATACGGGGACGGCATCGGCCGAGGCGTCTCGGCTGGGGAGTTTTCTCCTCATCACTGAGGTCTCTCTGGGTGACAGCGACTGCCATCAATTGACGCGACGAGCCAGCGCCATGGATGCAGACTTTCCGCGGTCTGCCCGGGAAGCCGAAGATCACATCCGTCAAATCCGTCGTGATAAGGGCCTCGGCGATGGTCCAGGGCAAATTGGTAACAACGGCGCCGACCTGGAATCCGCTTTGAAAGTGTCAGTAGGGCGCTTGCCGTCGCCGATCAACCCGAACTGACGTTGGCAGTCTATCCCATGATCTGTACCAAACAGCGACGCACTTTCTGCTCGAACTCATCCAAAATGCCGACGACAACATGTACACGGCTGACGCCCCGACGCTGGCCATCTCGTACAGGCCTGGGCGGGTCAGGATCGATTGCAACGAGCGCGGGTTCTCACGCAAGAACATTGAAGCCATCTGTCGCATTTGCCAGAGTACGAAGAGCGGCAGAAGCAAATCCGCTGGATTTGTCGGTGAGAAAGGTATCGGTTTCAAGGCCGTCTTCAAGGTAGCGTCAACCGTCTGGATCTCCTCTGGGCACTACTCCTTCAGATTCGACCGCGATGGGCACCTCGGGATGATCGCTCCGATCTGGGATGCATTTCCCGAAGCTTCCAAGCCTGGATTTACTTCCATCTATCTGAAGCTGGCAAGAGACTGCAATGAGGGGGGCATTGTCGACGAGCTTCGCTCTTATGATGCCAAGATTCTCATATTCCTTCGCCGTCTGCAGCGGCTCGAGATTGACGTCCAACGGGAGTTCTGGAAGTCCGGCGACTTCAAGACGGTGCTCAGCCGGCAAGCGACTATTTCAGGCAACCCTTCCATGACGACATTGATGAATGATGGCGTCAAGAAGCAATATCTGGTTTGGCGCCACACAGTCAACCGATTGCCCAACGACGCAAGAAGGCCTGGCATATCGAGCTCAGAGGTGGTCCTAGCATTCCCTCTCGACAAGGACGGAGAAACCCCTCTCATAGAGAGGCAGAGCGTCTATGCATTCTTGCCTATCCGCGACTATGACTTTAAGGTGGGTGAATTTGTGTTATGCTCCGGATAATGCCAGCAGCGCTGATTCTGTTCTGCGACCTAGTTCCTACTTCAGGCAGACTTTCTGTTGTCTGCCAACCGCGAAGATGTCCACGCTGATCTGCCATGGAACCTGGCGTTGACGACGGCTGTGCAAAAAGCTTTTCTCGACGCTGTCAGGCACATGAGCAACCTCAACAACAAGCTGCGCTACACGTGGTTCCGCTTCGTGACATGCAGCTACAGCGCGCATCTCGGCATCTTCGCAGACCTGCAGAGAAAGCTGCTCGCGGATCTCCAGAAGACGCAACTTCTCGACTCGACCTGGGGCCGAAAGAAGAAACCGACGAAGCTGACACGGGTACCCGAAATCTTCTGCGACAACGACGGCCGGCCGTTCACGCTCCACTACAAGAATGACGACCGCTATCTGTCGCCCAAGTACAGCCAGGACGAGCCCGACGCGAGCAGCCTCAGAGCTCTGGGCGTCAAGGACATCACGCCGGAAGCCTTCATGAACGAGATTGACAAGCTGTTCAAGAAGCACCGCGGGTCGTTCTTTCAGAAGCAGACCAAGGACTGGCACGCCAAGTTCTCGCAGACGCTGACGTCGTCTGCGTTCGTCAACTGGCACTACAGGAAGCGGACCATGGCCATCATCCCGCTGCGCGACAAGAGCTGGACGTCGATGAACGAGGGACAGGTGTACTTTGCGGCTCAGTCAAACTCGACCCTCGTCCCGGAAGGAATCAAGATTCGCATTGTCGACCCCGAGGCGGCGGCTGACCCGGCGCGCAAGCTGCTCTTCGAGCACCTGGGCGTGGCGAACCTTTCCAGGCCGCTTGTCGCCAACATGATCATCGACGCGCATGCGAACGAGAATTTTAAGCCGGACGGCCTGAAGCCCGCGACTTTGGTATCGCACGCGCGGTACGTCTATCTAGAGAATTGGGAGCAGAACGCTTATCGGACGCAAGAGCTCTGGTTTGCTTCTCAAGAGGGCCCTTGCCGCAAGGGCTCAGCCATGTATCTCCCCCTGGACGTGCCGGGAGCCGCCAGCAAAGTCTTGCCGAAGGTGGCCAATGGGGGCTACGGGTTCCTCCATGCTTCCTATCTCGAAGTCCCTGAGCTCCAGAAGAAGAAGTGGCACGATTATCTCGTCAAGACGCTGAAGGTCAGTGTATATCCTCGCCTCTGGGCCACGGAGCAAGTCGAGACCGATTACTTGCACGCCGACTTCAACTACATTGTGAAAAATGCCGGCCCCATGGCTTGGATGGTGCTGCTGCGCGATGGATGGAGTTACTACAGAGAGGTGCTCGATACAAGCATCACTGCCCTCGGGGCTCTCGCCAATGAACGATGGCTGCTGGTGGCTCGAGTGAAGAGGCTCGAAGTCGTCTGCATGGGGAGGTCGACGCGTTGGCCAGTCTCGGAGACTTTCAGACCATCGGAGGCCCTTATCGAGAAATGGGGCAGTTTGCCCCCTTTTATAGATCTCCCCCAGCCGGAGAACGCGCGGTGGGAGGCGGTTCTGCGTCACCTGGGCGTCCTGACCCTACCGACCCTCAGCTTCTACATTGACAGCCTACGAAGCGCAAAGGGGGTGGCGACGACCCCTATGGAGATCATCGAAAGCCTGATGACAGAGATTGAAGCAAAAGGCACGACGACCGAAAGACGGCAAAAGATCATGTAAGTCACCCTGAGGGGGCCATCACGTCGACGTGTTTGCTGATGACACGGGATAACAGGTCAGAGTTCCGAGACTCCTCCCTCATCTGCATCCCGCCCGAGGGTGACCGAGAGTCTCGTCTCTGGACGAGCACGAGTCCGTGTTTCTGGGACGGCGAGTCGTGGCTCAAGCAGTCTTATGGCTTGGCAAAGCATTACCCCAACCACGAATCGCTGTTCCGGAACTGTCTCATGATCCCAGACGTCGGGGTCGAGCACATCATCAAGGAGGCCAAACGCATCAGCGAGAGGGGGGACAACACGATTCCCTACATCGAGAAGATCCTCTCCGCCTTGGCGATCCATTCCGACTACCACATTACGGCACCGCAGAAGAAAGAGCTCGCGGCCATGGCCATCTTTCCCATCTCGACCGGCCCCGCTGACGGCACCTACCAGTCCCTGTCTTCGATCAACAGCAAGAAACCGTGGCTGATCGCGGACCGAGAGGTGTTCAAGACACAGTTCCAGCACCTCCTGCCCATGCTGGCGTTCAGCGTCCGGTTTGTGCTGAAGATCCGCAAGTTCCTCCTGGCCCTGGGCCTGGGCGACCGGTGCCTCAGCAAGCTGGCCTCGAGCGTGACGGAGGCCCGCGGGGAGGCCGTGATCAACAAAGAGCTGACGGAGAAGTACCGGTCAAGGAGTTCTCTCTTCTTCAGGTATGTTGCCCGAAACCCGTGCCGAGCCCCCTCGCGGCCCGATGCCTCTGTGTTCACGAGGCCAGGTGAGTCCACAGCTGACGTGCCGCGAACAGACTGATGCCCGAGGACCAGCCAAACCAGGAGCAAGTGCGCGACAAGTTCCGCAGCATTGACGTGTACGTGGCGTCGGAGATCTCGCAGTACTGGACAGCGCCACTCGGGTTCACGCAGGTCCGCAGTACGCTGGCGACGGGCGCGGCGTTTCTCGAGTGCGACTATGCCGGGGACCTGCGGATCTACCTGCGCAAGGGCTACGAGACGGAGGCCTACCCCTGCGAGCTGTCGGAGCAGCTGCGGAGCTTCTTCAGCATTGACATCGAACATCGAGATCTGGTGAGCGTCGTGCTGACGGCGGAAGTCGATCGGGTCGAGCAGATATTCGATAGCAGGGGTGTCCTGCCGTCGATACCTGACGATGAGGACGATGAGGATGGTGACGCTGAGACGCAGAGCGGCGCCGATGCTAGGGCCAAGACGGGCAACAACTATATTCCCGGGGTGGGCGTCGTTCCTGTCACGACAGGGCCGCGCGCCGGCAGCAGTAGCGGCGAAGCTTCGCGGTTCTCGCGTCTCCTGGGCAATAGTCGGTTCAGCGCCGCGTTTTACGGCCAGCCGAACAACTCTGGCGAGTCTCTGCCGTCGTACACAGCGGCGATAGCCAGGTCAACAGGGAGCGCTGCCGGCGCCGGAGCGACAGAAAGACGGACAATTCCAGGCGCTTACACGCTGCCGTTCCTGCGAGGCGCCCTGAGGGAGCTGAATTTCCACCAGAAGGAGGGAACCGTCATCGGTGCGCCGGTCGCACCGCCGGGCTTCCTGGATCGGGTCAAGACGTTTGCCCAGCGCGACAGTGACCTTGGAGAGCTATTCGTGAGTCTTGTTTCCCCTGCCCTTTTTCTTTATCGTCTCGATCCAGTTCATCGCACGCACGAGACAAGGCCGCAGCTGACTCTCCCGTTCAAGGTCGCCGACATCCTCACGGCGGTTCTGGGCCCTCAGTACGACGCAGGCACCATGTGGACGTCGCGCTCCAAGAGAAAGGCGGAAGAGGCCGCCTTCAACTTCACAGACGCGCAGGGACGGTTCAGCGCGTTCCTGATGCGCCTCGACGGGACCTCCGGCAAGGGCCAGGGCTTCAACCGCTTCGTCTACCACATCGACGTCAAGGCGACAGACAAGCCGCAGACGAATCACTTCAAGATATCGCAGGACGAGCTCAACCGGGTAAGCACAGGTCCCGACAGCCTTCGTCTTTGGAGTGCAACCTCCCCTGCCCGTGGACTATCTGCTAATCATGGCGCGCAGGCCCGTCAGTTTTCAATCCACAGCAAGGTCGAGTCCAGCCTGCCGGCACCGATGAAGCACGTCTCGATCCTGGTGCACGTTTCCGAGCTGCGCAGGGAGCCCAAGATTCTGTTCCTGGCCGATCCATGGGACCTGTTCGCTGAAGGGCAGCTGACGTTGGAAAACGCGTCGAGCTATAAGGCAAGCCTGAATCTGCGGCCGTGGGTGGGCGCAGCCGGCAACGAGGGGGGGTTCGATTCTGTCCAGATCCGATCGAGAGATGCTGCTGGCGTTGCTCCTGATGATGTGAACACGACCGAGAAGAAGGGCTGGTGAACGAATAATTGAATGAATGAATGAATGGTACAGGGCGTATATAGAACAGCAAATGCATAGTCTGTGTTGTCATTAGTATGAGTGCTCCTTCGAAAATGGCTGCCTACCTCATGCCCCTCCTCACCGCCCGTGTCTCGTTTCGTGGCCAGGCACCAGTCGATCACCAGCCGACAAACCTGGTGTTTCTTCGTTAGGCAACCTCTTGGTGAACCTACATCAACCCGTCTCATCTCTCACATTGACCATCCCTCACATGAATCCCATCTTCGTCATACAATCACACACCAAAACCAAGCCAGCATACCATCCAAACAACAAGACGAGCCAACCTCCAAAGCCCACAATGCCGCCTCCGCCCCCAAACCCACCCCTCGCCTTCACGACAGACGCCTCGCTGCCGTCCATCTACACGACACCTCTGTCCCGGTCCTCCTCCCCGCCATCGCCACGTCTCGTCGTCGGGGCCGCCGTCCTCCACCGCGACGGCGGCGCCAGCCCGCGCATCCTGCTCGTCCAGCGCAGCGCCCACGAGTTCCTCCCCAACCGCTGGGAGCTGCCCGGCGGCAGCGCCGACCTGGTCCACGACGCCTCCCTCGCCGCCGGCGCCGCGCGCGAGCTGTACGAGGAGACGGGCCTGCGCGCGCGCCACGTCGCCTCGCTCCTCGGGAGCTACGCGTGGCTCGATCACGGGAGGCCGTGGGTCAAGCATTCGTTTCTCGTCGAGGTGGAGGGAGGGGGCGCGCAGGCACCGCCCCAGGTCCGGCTGGATCCCGAAGAGCACCAGGACCACGTCTGGGCGACGGAGGAGGACGTTAGGGCAGATCACGTCGGGGAACGCAAGCTCGCGTGGACGAGCGAGGACCAAAAGGCTGACGTGCTGAGGGCATTCGCAACGGACAAGGATGTGTCGTCGTCTTCGTGATCTGGATACATCTCGAGGCGTGAGCCACGGCTCTGCTTCTGCCGCGGACAGCGGGCTCTGTACGTCTATACAACATCGACATGTCTACCCTCTACTCTACTTCCTCTTCGATCCCTTGCCGCCTCTGCCCCCCTTGCCTGATGACCCCTTTCCTCCGCCGCCACCGCTGCCGCCGCCGCCGCCGCCGCCGCCAGCGCCCATCATGACCTTGAGCTTGCCCACGGGCACCGAGTTGATGACCTCCTCGGGCTTGAACGCCTTGATGAGCTCCACCTCGCGCGGCCACATGCGCTCCGAGTCCTGCGCCCGCTCGTCGACGACGCCCTTCTTCGTCGCCACGAGCTTCCACCGCTCGAGCACCTCCTTGACCGCCTTGCCCTTCTTGACCGGCCCCGGCTGGAACTTGACCTTGTACTTGAACCGCCCGAGCGCGTTCCACGGCGCGCACACGGGGATCGCCTCGACGATCTCGTCCCCGACGAGCGGCGTGCCCACGAGCCCGTCGAGCGCCGTCACCTTTTCCGCCTCGTCCGCCTCGAGCAGCTCGACGCCCTCCTCGTGCATCAGCCGCCGGATCTCCTCGTGCTCGGCCGTCGCCTTCTGCTGCTTCTGGTGCTGCGCCCGCCGCCGCTCCTTCTGCGCCGCCGCCTGCGCCTCCCGTTCCGCCCGCGCCTTGGCCTCGGCCTCGGCCTTCTGGCGCCCGGCCGCCGCTCCGATCAGCGCCTCGGCTGCCGCGCGGTCGTCCTCGTCTTGGTACTTGTACTTGGCCGCCATCTTCTTGGCCTTGCCCTTCTTGCCTCGCTTGGCCGGTGCCGTCTTGGCGGGTGCGGGCTGCTTCGACGCCGCCGTCGTCGTCTGCGCGCTGCCCTGTGGTGGCGCGTCGTCCTCGGCCGCTTCGGAGTCGCCTCCTTCGTCTTCGTCTTGTGGGTTGGTCTCTGCGGGTTCTTCGGCCTCGGAAGATACCTGCAGGTCCTTCATCTGCTCGACTGGCGCCGCTTCCTTTTCCTTTTGCTTCTCCTCGTCCTCCTCCTCCTGCTGCTGCTCCTGTCGCTCGCCATCTGTGTCGTCATCGTCATCGGCATCAGCATCGGCGCTGTTGGTCCCCTGCAGCGGGTTGTCGCGCGCATCATTCTCTTGGTTGTCGTCAGCCTCGTCCTCACGCTCATCTTCGTCCTCGTCCTCCTCGTTCTCATCGCCATCGTCAACGTCCAGCGCGCTGTCGGGAGCAGTGTCGTAGCCGCTGACGGCACCCGCCGGGCTCTCGTCGCCCCGCAGCCTGTGCTTCACGTGCTTGGCCTTGCTCTCCTCGCTGATCCTGAACATGATGCCGAGGCCCAGCACCAGCGGCGCCGGGGGCAGGAAGTTCTTCTGGCCCCGCACCATGAAGCTGCCCGCGGGCAGATACTCGCCCGTCGGCGCCGACTTGGACACCTGGTCGGCCCTGACCCACCAGGCGCCCATGCCGGCCTTGGAGTCCCACGCGCTCGAGCTGCAGACGGACAGCATGCCGGCCTGCGCCAGCGTCGACGGCGGGATCGGCGCGTCCGGCGTGTCCTGCTTGTTCTTGACAATGACCGTCGCGGCGCCGTGCATGTCGGCGTGGCAGTACACGTCGCCCTTGCGCAGGTACCGCTTGTACAGCGTCTCGTTCTGCTGGGCATCCTTGCCGCCGAGCACCAGGTAGCCGTCGGACGAGAGGAACCAGATGAACTTTTCGAACCACATCTGCTTCCGTATCGGCTGCAGAACCGCCTTCTCCTGCTTGAGCCCCTTTTTCAGATCTTCCGTGATCTTCTTCTCGGCATTCTTCAGCGCCATGGTCGAATGCTGCACCGTCTTCTGCTCCTTGACGGCGGCCGTCCGCCGCTGGTCGTAGTACTCTCGCGCGTTGGCCCAAGGCGACAGGCCGAGATTGATCTCGATCTGCAGCCGCCGGTCGGCACCCTTGGCCTTGGCACCGTCTTCGTCATCCTCACTGTCGGACGCGTCCGATCCGGTCTCGTAGGCCTCGTCCTCGTCCTCGACAGCCTCCGTGCCGAGCAGGAGCGTCATGAGGTTCTCGCCGAGCTTGAGCGGCAGCTTGATGGTTTCGGCCACAGGGTTGTGCCGCTTCTGCTCCCGCTCGATGAGCTTGCCGATGTTGACCCAGTCCATGCCCTGCTGGACGAGACCGTTGACGGCATCCATGGCCTCCTGCACGCGCTCGACGTTGGCCTCGATGGCGGCGGCCTTTTGCTCGTTCAGCGACTGGGCCTCCTGCAGACCTTCGATGCGCTGGGCGTGGTCCTGGCGCGTCGCTTCGAGCTTCTTCTTGGCGGCGGCCTCGCGCTCGGTGAGCTTGGACTCGAGTTTCTGGCCCTCCAGCGAGGAGAAGAACTCGTCCACCGTCTTGTTGAAGCCGTCAAACGTGAGGACCTTGACGGAAGGGTCGTCGGCAAACTTTTGCGGCAGAAACGGGTGAAAGTCGTCGTAGAGAAGATCTTCACGCTTCGTCCCGGCACCGTCGTCCGGCTTTTCTTCCGTCTCCTCGCTCTTCTGCCTGTATTTCGCAATGACATAGCCCGTCGTCGTGGCCGAGCTCGTGGCGTCCTCGACGACCTTTCTGGCGACAGCCAGGGCGTGCAGCAGACTGTCGAGCAGTGCGTCGCTGTCGAGGAGCTCGGCCGGCGTCTTTGTCGGGTCAAACCCGGTGACCTGGAAGGCGTGGTCGACGAGCATCGGAGGCAGTTCAGTAATGGTCGTGGCGAGGCCCTTCCTGAGCTGGTCGCCTGGCTTGACCTTCTTCTTCCCCGTCGTCGGCGCGTTGGCGGCCTTGGCCGCCATGACCCTCAGTGCATTCTGCAGCCTCTCTCTCGTCAGGGGCGGGACGCCGCCAAAGTTTTGCCTGTTGTCGAGGGAGTAGCTGAGTCCGACGCGCTGGGGTTCCTGGCCCTCGCCCTCGGGAACGTTCCGCAGCAGGGTCAAGATGCGGAGCTCGGCGTCGGTCAGGATGACGTTGCCGCTGGCGAAAAACTCGAGGAAGAGTCGGTACTGCCCATCGCTGAATGTAAACTCGATTATTCTGTCGGTTCCGACTTGTGACACGGCCGTCAAGCGTCTTGTCTTGAGGAACTTGCGCAAACGCGCCACAAAGGCGGAAGGGGCAGCAGCGGTGGTGCGCGCAAAGTCGGTCAGGTGGCAGCGGAAGCCCGAGTCGATGAGAATCTGCTTCTTATTGTCGGGCTTCGCAAACTTCAGCAGTAGGATCTTGGAGGACAGGTCGTAGACGTTGGCCAGTCGAAGGGTGACGAGACTTTCGTGGAGCTCGTGGGCGATGACCTGGGGCGGAGCGCGTTGGTTAGCGATACGATGATGCAGCCAGCCGTTCGGTGGTGTAGCCAGCCGTTCGGTGGGTGCGGACAGCATACCTTGACGTCAAGGGACGAGAATCTCTGCTTCATGATCGAGATGCGAGGTTCTGGGCTCGTGGCTGGCTAAACGGCAATACAAGTCTGGTGCTCACTGGATGATGCAGCAGAGGGACGAGGGGCACTTTGGTGGTGCCGATGATGCTGCCAAAGGTGCAACAGTGTGGCGGCCGCGGGGCATTTGTGGCTCATTGAGGAAAAGGCTGAGGGGCTCAACGGCATGACGTAAGGGTCCGTACGCATCAGGCTGAAGTACCGGAGTACCAAGGTACCTACCTACCATCGTCGTCTTCATGCCGAGTCCCTCACAGTGTCACCATTTTGGCCATTGGGGCGGCACCCAATAAAAACGTCGTTAGGCTCTCGAGTTTGACCTTAAGCATGGCCCTGTGGATATAAGCTTACATGGTAGGCTATATGGCTGGCATGATTTCGACTTCTGGCAGGGTATATCGTACGCGTGATATCATTGACTATCAATACAACTATGTTCCCTCAAACGTTATGCCTCCGTCTAAAACGTGTAGACAAGCCCGACCAAATTCCCATACGCCGTCCGCCTGTCGCTTTTCGTATGCATGGTACACGCGCTTCACCACACACCTCCATCCGCTTTAATATGCTCGGCGTGTGGTGATGCCCAGCGCGGCTCTCTCTCTCTCTCTCTCTCTCTCTCTCTCTCTCTCTC